TCACCCCTGAGCACTGCTCAGGTCCTCTCAGGGGAGGAGACATTTGCCTCTTCCCCCAGTAACCCAGAATGCAGGAGGCAAACAGGTGCCCTCCTTGCAGTCTTCTTCATGCCCTGCAAAAGTCCCAGCAACACAGTACAACAGGCAGTACTTCTGCAGTGAACTGAATGTGTATCACAGACACAAGCAGGGAAAGTCCAGGACAGTAGTTAACATGAGGAACAACTGAAGAGAGACTTGGGTTTTTCTTTGAGACAATCCTTTTTGTTTACACAGACTATAGAAAAGTAAAGTTTTCTTGAGCTTTTTTTTTTTTTTTAAAGCAGGAGGTGTCTTCTTTGCTGAAAATTCAAAGGGACACTGAACTGCACTAAACAGAAACATGATTTAAGCATTTTATTAGTCAAGCTGTTTCTATTGTTACTATGACTAGTCCTATCTTACTGTCACCTTTCCCTCTTTACTGACTAGTGCTGCATTTCACATGCAGGTACGTGTGGACACACCCATCTACTAAAACAAAACACAAGAAAGCCTCTACCCAGCTTTGGATCTCCTTAAACTGACTGAAGCCACATGGTACACTAGGAACTACCTGTAAGTATTCTAAAGAAAATACAATTAAATAAAAAAACAAAACTAGAAAAAAATTTACAGCAGGTCCTGTGAGTGTTCAGACAAGAACTTAAAATCGTAACTCATTTCAGGTTACTGTTTGGTTTGCACTACACTTAAATAGTGAAGAATGCTGGCAGGAAAAATGTTTATGTTGTTATTCTAGTGTTTCTCTAGGCACCATAAGACAGCTATTCTCCAGCAAAACTTCTGCAGAGGTAGGCTCTGGTGATAGAATGCGTTTAAAAATGATGGCCAGATGGTGGCACAGTAAACGCCCTTCTTCTGAAGGGCTGTATGTGTCTGTTAGAAATATTCCTTGTTCCATATGCATATCACAGAGAATTAGACACATACACTCCTTACACAGAACAACCACCTCCCAAAACACATGTCAGCAGAGTATTTACTACCAAATCCAGAAGGAGTTTGTGATTCTAACATTGTCCCCATTAATGAGAAAAATGTCACTATACAAAAGCTCTTTTTTTTTTTTTTTTCCTTCTTATCAAATCCTTCAAACAGCTGATAACTAGCTTTTATAGATTGGAGAGTCAGATAGAATTCTGAATCTATTATTTTACTAAAACCCCGGGGGTCAACTTATCACCGGAAAACCATTTTACATGGACAATTTGACTTTCATGTGGAGTGTCAGAACATACCCTAGATGGAAATCTAAAATAAATTATATGGAATGCTGCCTTCTTTGTGCTGAAATTTATCGGTCCCACACTACAATAATTTTGAAAATTTTATCCCTTAAGCTACAGTGCTGAGATATTATTAACTGCTTGAACTGAAAGAGCAGTTCTGATGGGCTGCTGTAAAGTCTATGGACAGAGACTAATTTCTATTGAACCACATGCTTATCTGAAGCTGTCTTCGAGCATTCCAAGCTGCCAACTTTATTTTCTTCCAGAATACACTGCCCATTTTATTACTATCATCCTCAGTATGCACTGTCACTTTGGTAAATCTGTTCCAGAAGCTAAGAATGCATCTAAGCTTCTGCTAATATAGTTGCCTGAGACAATCACACCCAAGAGAGAGGGAGGGAGAGACACCCACTTGTACCTCTTCCTAATGCAGTTTATTTTCCTCACTAAGCAAGCTTTCAGTCTCTGAAATGCATCTCTGTGATATACCACAAAATAAGCAGATCTATTTCATGGCCCACACTTTCTTAATCACTCTAATTACCATACTTTTGAAATAAAATTATTTGATAATGTGTTGATGCTTTGGTGGATGCTCCTTTTAAATCTAATAGTACAATTTTTAGAAAAGACCCAACTGACCTCAAAACCCAAAATCTTTATGATACTGAAATACTGAAAATGTTAATGATCCAAGCTACTGGGTGACTATTCTTTGAGTAGAAATTCCCAGCTAAGCAGAAAAACCTCCTCTAGGCATAACATGTAAGACACAAGAATGGAGCTCTGGGATAAAAGAAGTTTATTTCCTGCACCCAGTAACCTAACAAGTCTGGACTACAACAGCTAAAATATTATATCACAACCAGAAAAAAAAAATTAGAACCCTAGTAAACAATTCTACACTCTCATTTTCATTTAGATAAATGACTAGGATTTATAAACTGAAAGAAATAGCTAGAAAGGAAGTTCTGACCTGCACATCCAAGTTGCTAGATTGCCACCCACGGAGGTCTATGGCGGAGCAGATGCTGACATGCAATCTGTGGGGGGCCCCACACCACATAAGGTGATTGCACCCGAAGGAGGCCAGGATCCTGTGGGAAAAAGCAGCCCCTGCCATTGTAGTTCAGCACTGGGAGGACTGTAACATACGGGGGTGTCCCATGTCAGAGCATCTCGGGAAGGGCTGCAACCTACGGGAGGGATTCAAGTCAGAGAAAGTTTGCGTAGGCCTGTCTCCTGTGAAAGGGGGACCACGCTGGAGCAGGGGGAAAGAGTTCCAGAATTTCCCCCTCCCTGAAGATGGGAGAAGTGGCAGCACCCCCCCACTCCCTGCCCCTTGCGCCACTGGGGGAAGAGATAGAGATATCGGGAGCAAAGCCGAGCCTGGGAAGAAGGGAGGGGTGGGGGGGAGGGCGTTTTCAAGATGTGCTAATGCTTCTCAGTGGCCTATTCTATCTGTTAAGTGGTGGTGTTGTTGTTAGTGTCTGTATTAAATTAGTATTTTTTTCTTTCCCTAACGAGTATGCCTTTTGCCTGCAGCTGTAATGGGTGAGTCACCCCTCCCTGTCCTTATCTCAAATCCTGAGCCTTTGCTTATTTTCCTGGGAGGGAAGGGGGGGAGTGAGCAGCTGCACGGTGCTCACTTGCTCTCTGAGCTCAAACCATGACAACGACCTGTTGCTTCTGGGAATGCATTCAGCTCAGTAAGACCTTTACCAGGGGTTTGAAAACGAAGGTTTGGCAGGTCTCTTCCAAACCCTTTACTGCCTGGCTCCCAACATCTTTCTTTTATGTTAGGGTATATTGAAGAAGCAGCAGGATCCTGTCAGTAAATGAACCCTCCATTGCAAAGTCACCGTTGCAACCTTTCAGGGAAGGAAGTGGCTCATTGACTGGAACCCTGTGTTTGCTTTCATCCTAGCTGACATCCCAAGGGCATTCCTCAAGGATCTTGGGGAGCTCTGCCAGCTTCCCTGGGAGCAGTATGGGGCTGTTCTACAGAGCTTGGCTTTGCTGATGCCTAAGCTCTCTATGGGCACCAGTGCTGAAGTCATGCTGAATAATGTAACATCCAAGTTCAGCAACTAGATTACTACTACGTCAAAGACAGTTCAATATTAAAATTAGCTAGAGTTAATACTTCTACTGAAATACATACCCTATTTTAGAGAATTTGTGCAGCGAGCTGCAACAACTGGGGTGAAATGGCATATAGAGCTTTAGCTTTGAGACACTTGTTTTCTGGTTTGGCCAAGCATCAAAGTTGGTCAGTGGTAGCCTATGAGAGGCAGAAATTTTAGATGCATGAACTTATCTTTAATACAAAAGATAACCCGAGGAAACTATTTGGGACAGTAAAAGTAATAGCCCTATGTCTGCTTTAATTATATTCTACCATTTATTAAAGTGACTAGAGCAAGTTAGCAGGAATTCTGTCTTATCCAAACAACAAGAATTCCTAGTATTGAAGATAAGGAAAAGTGCCAAATTTGGAGTTGTCCACTTGTATTGGTAAATATTCTGAGCACTTTTAAGTGCTTAAACTGTTGAGATAAATGTTTTGGAATCTATTTCTACAAATTATAACTTAATTAGATCAAAAGAAGAAATTCGCAATTTCATAGTGGGCACAACTGATAGAGCCTGAATCTAGCTGGAAGTGTGATCAGGTATCAACATGCAGCAGCTTAAAAAAAAGTTACGCAAGCTGACCTTAATATGTGTGACTATCAGGTTTTCACTGTAGAAATATGTATTTTTCAATATCCTTTTCTGAGCAGAAATCATGTCATTTATATGCAAATCAGACTATATTCTGCAGCTGTTTCTTCTGGGCTGAAGCCATGGGAATTATTTGCACTTAATAAAGCCTCATAAATAGGTTTTGTCTCTAAATGGGTGGGGGAGCAGCAAATATATCATAGCCATTTACAGTTACAAGCATCTTTTTATTTTGAAAGTTACATGCATCCTTTAATAGGAAGTTTCACAGTTACAAAAGAAACACTTTCATTTGTATAAACAAAATACCCTTACAGCCTTCAAAACAAAAGGCTTTGCATTTTTCCCTATGCTCAGCTACCTAAAAATGTAGAAATTGCCATGTAGCATTAATTAAAAGGACAGTCTGTATCATCATTGCATGCTAGCTCCATGTAATATATGTTAAATACAAGAAGAAATTCCTTGCTATTGTATGTAGGCACTTTTATTTGAAAGAACATACACCTTTTTTATAGAAAGTATGTCCACCCAGTGTAATCTACTGCATTTCTGCAAAGTGTGTAACATTTTCACACACCACCCATCAGGTGTGTCCCTCAAGTCCTGGCACATGGTAAAAATCCATTTAAAAACCACAGGAGGACAGACTCAGGACCACTCAAAGCACATCCCACAAGACCAGACTAAAAGTGTAGTTTTTTAGTGTGGTAGGTAGCATACTAAAGTGAACTGGGAAACAACTTTCTGTAACTTGTATAAACTGTCTGGATTGTGACCTCTTGTTAAGAACAGGACACGCAGTGCAAGGCTGCAAATTAACAGTAGCACAGTTTTCCAGTCACTTCACAACCCCAGGGAAGAGCAACGATCATCACCGCCTAAAGAAAGATGGAGGACTGTTCTGGTTTAAGCCGGCAGGCAGCTAAACACCACACAGCTGTTTGGTCCCTCAGTAGGATGGGGGAGAGAATCGGAAAAAAAGGTAAAATTCATAGATTGAGATAAAGACAGTTTAATTGGACAGAAAAAGAAGGGAAAATAATGATACGAAAATATACAAAACAAGCGATGCACAATCTAATTTCTCACCACCCCCTGCCTGATGCCCAGACAGTCCCTGAGCAACGGGCCACCAGTCCCTGGCCAACTCCCCCCAGATTTTAGTTCAGCATGACATCATATGGTATGGGATATCCCTTCGCCCAGTTGGGGGCAGCTGGCCCAGCTGTGTCCCCTCCCAGCTTCTGGTGCCCCCGGCCTCCTCGCTGGCAGGGCAGTATGAGAAGCCAAAAAGTCCCTGACAGTGTAAGTGCTGATCAGCAACAACTAAAACAACAGTGTGTTATCAACAATTATTCTCACACTAAATGCAAAACACCAGCTAAGAGAAAGAAAATTAACTTTATCCCAGCTGAAACCAGGACAGAGACAAAAGGGCTCCAAGGGCCCCTTATCACTTAGAAAGACGCAGTCTCTACCCCATCCCACTCCATCTGAAATACCTGTCAAGAGCACCTGGAGACCAAGAATTAGGACACTGGGAGAAAAGTGAGGGCCTGGACAGATATAATTGTATCTCATACAGGTTTAAAGAACAAATACAGAAACATGGTTCAACTGAGGCGGCCCTTATCTCAGCTGAGCAGTGGCAGACAATGAACCACTGATTTTTTTCAGTCAAGCTGAACTTCATCACTGTGAACTATCAGCACACAGTACGTGCCTTAGTTTATTTTCATATAAGCCCTCAATAAATTCAATGTGGCGTTAGTCCTCTGAAGGAAGTGAGTTTTACCCTGACTAGTACCTCCTTTTCTATTTCCTTGTTAAGTAGAGTTAGAAAAAAAACAGGCATTCATGGATCTCATTTAAAAATTTTGTCAGTAAAACAATTGATATGATACTGCTCTCTTGCTTCTACATGAAAAGCAGAAAGAGTGACAAAGAGGTAATCTCTTTTAGAAGAGATACCACTGAGTCTGTCGTAACGATCCCTTAGAGAGGTATTGTTTCTGCTCTACAAAATTACTAATTTTAACTATTTTTCAGGTGCATATTGGTTCCACACAATGACTTCTGTTCACTCTTTATCATTATGCTGACTGCCTTTAAGAGCACCAACTTTTATACGTCATGTAACTATTCTGTGAAGGTATATTTAAGTAAAAATACACCCAAATAACGAGAGTCTGACTAGTCGCAACTGCCGTTATTATTTTATCAATCACTGTAATATTTAACTCATTAGTCTCCAAATATATGGATGTCTACATAATTAAAATGATCATGAGACATGCTGCATACAATTAAAATGATGTCACAATATATTTACAGTATCCTATATGCTATAAACGTGCCTTATACAACAAACTTGTCTCGCAACATGTTTAAACACTATACTTATTTTTCTGCTAACAATTTTTGAAAGATCATGGGTTTTGAGTGCATATTGCATTTTCTTCAGGCACAGATATGGTTGACCTCAGTTTATATTTTGAAACCAATGTATGTGATGGGACAAGGAAACATGTAAGGAAGTTGAAGTTAAATTAAAAGCAGGTATGAGCATGTATTTTATTATGGAGAATCAGACAAGTAAGATAGTAAAATCTGACTTCTTGTCATATTGAATTTACTTTCACAACTCCATTATGGGAAGCAGTATTTTTATAATGTAAATTTTACAGAATCATCCCCAGACTAAAGTCTGTGGCATTCTGCTGTATCCCCAAAGAATTACTTATACAATCCCACTGATTCAAACTCAAGCCACTCATTTAATGTTACAACTCTATGCAGAATTAAAAACAAGGATCCTTTCAGACTTTAACAATGTTTTTATGTATTTTAGTCTGTCTTTTATCTATTGGTAGTATCTTAGTGAAATTGTCTGATGTTACCTTGTTGAATTTAATTAGCCTGTTTTATCATCTGGGCAGCACCTGAAAGGAAGCTGCATGCAGCAACATTAGTGGAGCACAGCCATCTTATGCTGTACAGAAATGAGACTATTCAAAACTTAGAAAAGTTGGATCTTTATGTGCGTAAAAGAACTTGGGCATCTCATGTGCCCAAGAAAGGCAATATTCAGTGAGGCTGGCTGTGAATTTACAGCACACCAGCTTCTCCGTGCTAACTGTATGTGGTCACTGTCATCGCAGGTAATTTGGTGAGTTCCACCAGGGAGCAGTTCAGCCCTCTTACAATCTGAATCATCTGGCAGTGTCTGCCTCTTTCTAGTGACTACACAGGGAGTCCAGGTAAACTAGGTTTATCATGGCGATTCAGTTAAATGACTAGAATTGCAGCTCTTCACAGCTATGTCTATACTTACCTCTTAGGGCATGACCTGGGATTTTGGTCCCCTGGCCATTCATACAAAGCACTGGTGGAGAGAATCACCACTGTTCCTGCCTGGAAGCCATCTGATTTCCATGGAAATCAAAAGATGGTGATGGGCAGGAGTTAAGCTCTGCATTCTGCTGGGCTAAACACAGAAGTAGTATAGTAATTGTGAGTTACGTCAGCTTGGAAGTTTAATTTAAGAAAAATAATTCAGATTTGACTAGCTTTTTTTAATTCTGCACTTTAGTCTTTCTGCCTGTATTTGTTTTGAGGTATAGTCACTGTGTATCTGCAATTAATTACTGCCAGAGAGACCTACTATGGTTATCACTTCCGATCTTTCAATTATTATGATTTCAAAAATGGAACAATAACAAATGCTACCATATGAAAAGCCATTTCTTCTCCTGAGATAGAGAACACTTCAGCATATAAGTACTTCCAAATTGGTTTTCTGAAAGTGATTTAGGCTTTAAAGAGTCACAGAGCTAATATGAATAATGAAGCAAAAGAACAATGCCAAATAAAGCCCCTTTCAAAAAATGGTTTTGCACCAGAGGTTCAATATCACTGTAAAGACACTGCAATACTGAAAGATTTATGTCCTGAAATCTGTGAAATGCTGCCAGCAGCAATAGTAAAATTTTGTAATTTTCCAAGGATGATATAAGATGCTGATTTCTTGTGAAAAACAGAGATTGGAAATGATCTTATAAACCATCTGCAAAGTACTCTGATTAGTCTTGAAAGTCCTGAAATGCATTTGTTATCATGTGTTCTGACTATGGATCAACTGGAAATTAAAACCTTTTAAAAATCAAAAGGAAAAAATTTGAACACAGTGTCAGAAAATTAATCAGCTTGAATGCTGAATAAACCGAACAATAACTACTGAACTCCTGCACTGGAGAAAACTAAGAGGAAAATAAAATGCCTGCCTGCAAAGATATTTTAATTTGAAGTAATAGTCTAAATATAAACCAACTCCTATAAACTAACTAAAAGCAAGTGGTTATATTTGGCCTATAGAAAAATAGCAATAATGTGAATTACTTTCTACACATTATACAAACTACCAAAATATTTCACAGAAAAACAGAAATACACCTTCAGTATAGAAATGGGGCCAAAAAACATCTCGAAAAGATACTTCCTTAGTACAGAGAAATAAATAGAATCTTACCTTATTCATTTTTATGAAGACCTAAGCACAATCAACTTCCACTACAGTTGCTACCGCACAGTTCGGAACCTTTAGAAGGAGCTTCACGCAGATTAGCAGGAAAAAGCACAGCACATGCCATCAGAAGCATGCCTGGTTTGCAGGCAAGGCCTGAGCAACCAGCAGATGGGAGGTTTTAGAAAGTTGCAAGTTTTATAATCTCAGGATTATATAAATTATATAAATAATGTAAGCACAAGATTATACTAATTGTTTCCTTCCACTCCCACTTTCCATGTTTGACGCTTAGCTTTGTGTTGCTGTCTAAAAGCTTTTGTCAAACTTGAAGAAACTGAGGAACAGTTCCATTAGTTGTTGCAAGCTAAAAATCATAGGGAAGGGCAGGAGATAAATTAAAGAATGCTATGTAAATATTAACTGTCAAGCGGAAAAAAAAAAAAAGTGTGTATTTCAAGCAAGAGGGAGAGAGTCAGGTGCTTAAACACTGGCATCAAGTACCATTTTAGATGCCCTAGTAGGCCTGGAACATCTGCATGGGGGAGACCCGTGCTCTTCTGGCATGGTAGATAGAGCCCAGGGAAGATTCTCTGGGGCACCTAAAACAGCTCTGCATTCTGAAATCTCACCCTGACACAGAACTGGGAGGTGACTAGGATGTACATGACTAGGACTGCTGGGCTAAACACAGCAGCAGTGTAGTAATTCCAAGTTACCTCAGTTTGGAAGTTCAATTTTAAAAAAAAATTGAGACAAAAATAGATCTGATGTATTGCTAACTTCCAGATATAATGAAATATTTAAGGCACAGCAAAGTGAGTTATAAGCTTGTGCCTGCTGGAATTTGCAGTCAAAAACATATTGAGTGGTGAGTGTTGAGGCTGCTTGTGCTAGGCCATTCTTTCATATGAAGAAAGAGTTATACCAGAAAGTAAGTCAAAAGTATAAGGAAACACTGGAGTCAAGTAAAATGTTACTAGCTGAGAAAAATTCAACCAGGCAAAACATTTAGATGTACCACAAATGGTGCTGCAAGAACAGACTGCTAATGTTCCATGTGCAATTTTAACATTTTAATTCCACACATTTCAAATAATTAACAGTGAAAATTAACATTCTCTTGGATTTTAGGCAATATCACATATTTTTCTAATTGTTGAACTTGCAAGGTCTACGCTTCAAACACTAGAGCTACAAGAAGATACCCAAATGCAATGCTCAGTTGCCTGCATCTGACTAGGATGCATAAATGTCCATTTTATGACCTTGGGTGTCAAAGAGAACAGCCAAACACATCTTCAGAATATTGTTTATAGACATTTTACAACTGGTTTGTTGACAGTCTGGAAACATGTTTGCTTGAAGGAAGTTGCACTTTTTTATTAACAAGTTGATAGCACTGTCAAAAGAATGATAGTGTAGAACAACTTACCACTCTGTTACTTCTACTTGTAAATCTAATTGTTTTACAGAATCAGTGCTATGAAAAATTCAGTATTAGAGAAATGGAAAGGCAAAACCATTAAGAAATTTCTGAAGAAAGGGTCTTTCATTCATTTAGGGTACTTGTGAGCAGGGCATGTAACAGCTTACTTTCCCTTATGTGATTTTTAATTTATCTATAAAAACACCCTCCATTTGACAACTATTCTCCTTTGACACATTCCAGTATTTTTCTTTGTAATCGTGAAAATGGCAAGGTCAACAAACAAATATCTAAATATGTTTCAAAATTAGATAATCTACTTAGAATTACATAAATTAGACATCAATCTTATTATCTACTCTGTGCAGTAATCCAGCTATTGCTAAATAGGTATACAACAGAAATCAAGTTCTCTTAACTGGATTTGAAGGCTTCACTCTGTAAATATGACTATCTTTTTTTTCTCCAGCACTTACAATGTATTTTCTTTGTATGTTTTACAAAATACCATCAAATATTCCAAGAAAGGGGTTGACATCGTTGTTTTCATCGTCAAGAAGATATCTAATGAAGATTAAGCAAACAAGAAAATGAAATGAGGTATAGTACATCAAAACCTATGAAATCAGGAACACTATGCAAAGTATAGTCAAGAGATACCAACACAAGCAAAATAATTTTAAAGTATTTTCCTTTCTAAGAAAAGTTAATTGCTACTATTACTGTGAAAATTAATCTTTTTAAAATAAATGGTTTAAATTAACACATTGCCTAAAGGTCCATGATCCATGAAGAACTAAGCACTGGAATGCTGAGGCAACAGCAGAATGTTACACAACGTATTACCTGGGATCCACTTCTTTTTCCTGTTCTTTTGTGAAAATAAAAAAATCATCTTTCCTAGTGAATTTCGAAGAATCTGAGATTATTTTTGAGATTGAAGGACACTGTACGTTTTTCAGCTCTTGTGAAAGATTTGAATGCTTTTTTTCTTGAAAACTGAGCTGCAATGTAAATTTTAAAAAGTGTATATGGTTAAACTGCCAGATTGTTGTAGTATGTAGTACAGATATTGATATTATGGTATTTGACAAGGACCAATCACATGATAAATATATACTGTATGACTTGCAGAATCACAATCACACTGAGTAAATAGTTTTGAAGACATACTATATAAACTAAATTCAAGTCCTAGTTCTTTGTATCATGAGTATCACACTGAACACGGTATGCATGCATGTTTGGACAATACAAATTGTTTCAGGAATTCAGTATGTCCAAACTGATTCATAAATCAGATATGGCAAATATATTTACACATTAAATACTCTTATTATAGGAAATTCTGTTAAAATATTTTTGCTCACCATATTCATATTTCCACTCTGTACAGATACATTCACTTTTGATGTGCTGCTAACCACAGAAACAACTGAGTTCCAAATACTGGTCTCATCTTGTAATGTGCATGAGCTGAAAATACCAAGTTGAATAATTTAAATAATTTTACAAAAGTGCAAAATTATTTACTTTCAGTTCAGTATTTTCTATTTATTTCCCTTTACACTTAAATTAAAAAAAAAATATTCAAATCCTTTAACAATCCATACCTTTTAGAAGTTTAACCTTCACTCACTTTTATGAGTGAAAAAATACATTTAATACAGATACATATGAAATACAGACAATATTTTTAACTGAATAAAAGTTTCATAAGTTATATAATGCTTACGCTTTTGAAACATCATTTGTGGCTTTGCTTCTTGTATACTGGCAAAGTGGTTCACACTCATCTGGAATTTGAAGGCAGATATTTTCATGTTCCACATAAGAATGAAAGTTTTAAAAACTGATTCACAAAACAGCTGAAACTCCTTGTAAATATTTTACATAATATGATAAATAATTTGAAAATTACTCAAATACTTGAAATATTTATTCTGTGGTTTTGGGCTAATGTAAAGATAACCAGAGATAAGCAGTCAGATAAAATAACAAATATGCAGTTGCCATCCATTCAAAAAATATTTAATTATGACTTTCTCAATTCTCCCTTCCATATTAGATTTGTCTCAATGTAGGTGACATTAAAGGTAGAGTAATAAAGCTGGCAGTCAAGTCAATTAACCAAAAGATGTCAGGTAGTTCTATTCATTGTATACTATAATAAATTATTCTCAAATAATAGCCTGTAAAATAATTTGTACAGAGGAAGCAAAGAATTTTGTTATAATAACCTTACCTAATTCTCTACTGGCAAAGTTGCTCGCAAATACTAACTTCTCATCATCAATATCATCCCAAATATCATCTCTCAGTTCAAAGTCCACGCCCAAAGCATCTGAAAAACAAGATCTGCTTTTATCTGTATCAGTGGAGTTATAGAGATTTTTTTTTTATGCCATTGTCTCTTGGCTCTTCTCACTCACAAACACTGGATGTTTCCAAGAGAAGGCTGTAATACAATGGACAAGTACAACAAAAACTGTTCTATGTTTTACAACCAGTTGTTCAATCTATTGAAAGGATTGTCACATACGCATTTTTTTCTCAGCGTTATTTTGAGAAAAGTTATTCTCAGTGTAGATTCTAGAAAAACAGGCCTAATAAACATCACTGCAATTTCACTTTTTTTCTCTGTCAGAGGTGTTGTTTGAGTCCAAGTTTAATACTTCTAATTCAGTCCTTTCTTCTGTCCAGTTTTCCAAGCAACTCTGAATGCTGTCTTTCTCCCATACATCTAATGTCTAAGAACTAGCTATGACAAACACACTTTCAAGCACTGCTAAAATTCTTAATTAAATTTGTGATAGTTAATGTTCTAAAAACCCCTTTTTTTCTGGTGCAAAGATGACTTTCCTGTTTCTTCTCTTACTCTCTGTTTGTTGTATTCTCTCTTTTCATCACCAAACCAACTCCCTCTGCTAATTCTTTTTCATCTCTCTTCTGCCATACTACCCTCCAGCATCAGACAGTGCTGGAATCTTCATTCTATTGTCATGGTCCTAATACGCCTAAGAAACCCTGACCCAAGTGTCTATTTCAACAGAGTGGGAGCAGAACAGGCTCAAATCGAAAATGCTGTTCCACTGACACTGGTAACACCAGGAAGGCACTGCTATTGTAATTTTGGATGTGCACAGTCAGCACAGTGCATTATTGCACAGACACACAGACTTTAAATACAGTACAGGTTTAGTTTACTACAATTTCACAGTAAATTCTTAATTACCTACTTTTTTTTTTTTTTTTGTATGGAACGGAAAGATACCATATTACAGATGCAGTTAACCCTATAAAAATCACAATAACTGATGCCTTGCTTCATTACAACTATTTTTAGTGCTTTTTTCTAAATGCAGCTGGCCCAATCAATATGTCCAAGGTTACCTCTTCTGCTACTGTTCAGTGGAGATGGTTTTTAGTCAGTAATATCTACTATGTCCCCTTGATTCTGTATGATTAGCCTCAAGATGTTCTTGAGCACAGACCATGGAATATCCATCTGTCTACCCATGTGTCTTTACTCTTTTTAACACAATCATATCATACACTAACTGCCCACCCCACCCAGCAACTGACAATATGGCTATGCAACAGTCTTCCATCTGAAGACTAGATAACAACTATAGCAAGTGAATGAGTATGGCAGGAAAATATGAAGCATTAATTTAAAAGAATAGGATTACAATCCCACTGTCAAGATATTACGTAAAAATGAAATTATGCAGTATAGCTGCCAACACTTAAGGCAATATGAACTAAAACACATTTAAATTCATTTCAGCACAGTGTTTCTTATATGTCTGAGTATGATCTAAACATTGGAGCTGCTACTTATTAGCCAAATTAATCAAAACCCGATTTACCTCAACCTACTGTCACCAAATATAATGGCAAAAGGCATGAAGTGAGGAGAATACCATAGTTGTGTACCGATAATGAAGACTGATCATTTAACACCAAATGTAAAAAAAATTGTGGCCTTTCCAGTGGAAGAGAAACAGAAAAAGGATTTTTTTTTCCAGATAGAGCTGCTTTATCAGTTATGAATTCAGTTACTGAATGGCCACATTTTGTCAACTACCAAACAAAAGCTCGTATTTCACTAACTTCTTCCAGCAGAAAGGGAAAAGAAGAAATAGGAATAAAATATCTCTTGTATTACAAGTGGCTTTAGTGGAAATAGAGTCATACCTTTCAGGAAGTACTTATAGACTTGGACCCTCATGTATTTGATTTTGTCATTACTTTTTTACTTCAAGGTACATTTAGATGCCTAGATCTACACTATACATTCTTAGCAATACCAGAAAGAAAGCCAACTATATTTCCCTATACATTCAGTGTTCTATAATGCTATAATGGTTGCTGTAGTGATTTCTGCAAGTTTGAGTTTACAAGTATATTCAAATCAAAACAGTGAAAATCATAATTTCAAATATTAGCAATAACTTACTACTCTTTCCATAATTCCGGGATTGCAGTTGTTTCTGAGAGACTCCTAAGCTATTAACATTATCTACCTGGTCCACTGAGGGTGATGAAGATGACTGTTTATTGTCAGACCTATTAAAAAAAAAGAAAACCACAAAAAGAAACCAAAACAAAACCAAAAAACTCAGTGACATGTCAGTAAAACAGTTGTAGAAAGCTGCAAAATAATTTTATTCAGAAAACAGTTTTTAGTTGCTCTAACTCGACATACTATCTAGAATAAGACAGATTTCTTTTTTGTTACTTATATTTATCAGTACCTTGGCAATGCTGGCGACAAAGACTTAGGTGTAAAAGCAAATTGTTTGAGGTCCACATTCTGAGTATGATTTAACATCTGCATCTAAAGAAAGCAGATTATTGTAATTGGTATGATATAAACATACTGAAAACTATTGTTTTTAACAATCTTAATGACAACATTAATATTGTATCAAGTGAGCATAATTTTTAAAGATCACATAGAAGATCTTTCTGTTGTCTGCTTATCTAACGTAATCAGTTAAAAAGGTTTGAATTACATTCTTCAAGTGAAGTTATCCAAGTGCCCTGGCAAAATCAGACTGATTATCACTAACTCCCATCTTTATTAGCTATAGGCTAAATCAGTCCCTATTACAAACAAGCAAGCAAACAAAACTGTGAGGAGGAAATAAAACACTCCAATATCTCAAGTGCCATTCTTGATACAGGAAGTATTACTTTAGTATTACATTCAAAGGGATAATGTGTAAGCCACGAAAACTTTCAGAGGTTAAAAACTGACATGGTTCATTTACTTATAAACAAGTAGATCTACCTGTCAATGGAAAAAGATCTCTTAGTACCATTCCTTTGATAAATACCACTATTTGTTCTCGTTCAGGTCATATTTTGTCGAAACCAAGTCACAGTACAGTACCTTCCAACGACATCCCTGTATTTCACCCATCACAACCTACCAAGTGCCATAATCATAAAAACAAGAGTACGTTCACTGAAGTGGATCATTGGAAGCATTCCAAACAGCAATAGAAACTCTCAAAGATTCCTGGACCTTTGGCACCTTTATACTTCTTTGCTGTTTGCATTCTACTCAGAAAAGACAAACTTGAACATTCATATTTGGTTATAAAATTGTCCCTGCAGACAATACACAGAAATGCATAACAGATTAAAATAAATATTCAATGGCTGACTGTATTCAAATGAACCTTTAACCGTTTTACTGGGGGTACAGATGAAACTGAGTTCCTGCTTCTTAAATCAGCTAGGTATAAAGAAAACTTTGAATCTCCATTCATCTCAGACTTTGGAGGTACTCCCGTTTTACCTGAGAAAAGGAATGAAAATAATCTTCAGATTAGATTAGAAGGGATAAATCCTAATTCTTTCCAGATCAATAGAAACTTTGCCACTAAGCTTAGTATTGTCTATTAAAAGATCCTAAAAGATTTAACACACTGATTAAATGATTTAACACACCAATATTTATACAAAAGCATAACGAGCTTGACATTGCTCTTAAATCATATGCTAGCTGTTCTGAAAAATATTATTAATCATTGTAGTGACTATAAAAGTGTTACTGACAAAGCTTTTTATTACCACTTTCATGACTGCATCATAGCAACAACTCAGGCCCGACTCTCTTGCTTATATTGCTTCTGTTAATGTAGCTGTTGGTATAAATGAAACTATTTGAAATTATATTTGTCTAAAAGTAATAGAAATAGTAGATTTAATGAAACTCACAGCAGTCATGTCCACACACATCCTTATTTTTACAGCGATGGTTGCATTCTCTGTTTCCATATTTCTTGTAAGTAATCTCTTGTTTAGATCTGCCTCCTAAATATAATACAGAAATGCTCATTTTTTATTTCACGTCTTGTTGAGAGAGTACTTCATGCAGTAAAAAGTTAAAAGTAATCCAAGTCACTAGAATTTTGTTGCCTTCAGCAAAACTTTGAGCTGCACAAACAACATGACTGGAAATAAATTAATCAATGATATTGAAAAACAGAGGCACTACCACATTCCCAAATTCACACAGTAATTTTTCTTACGTTCGAATTCATCAAAGAATTGCACTGTAGTACTTGACAAGCAGAAGGAGCAGCGTTGCATTTTTATTATACTTGAGAAAGAAACAGTATGGAGAAATATTCAGCTCTCTACTGAAAACAAAATTCAATTTTCTGTTGACTTTTGTATTAACCAGATGTTGTGATCTGACCATTTACCTCTATCTACTTTTGCTGCTGGCAGACTTTGTGGTGAGCCATAATACATATCAAGTGAAGACTCAGCTTTCAGGTTTTGATTTGTAACCACTTTACTTCCCACTGGTTTTGGTGTTAAGTAAAAGGCAGTATATGCTTGCTGTATATCAAGGCCAACTTTGAAAAAAAATACAAAAATATTTAGAATTGCTATAAACTATTTCTAAACTACTGATTACCTTCAATTTTCTAATGAGTTTAAGAAAGCATAAGCATTATTAAAAGATCACAGAAACTTGTTATGATAATGTACCATTAAAATCACACTATTATACGAATGGATTCTTTATGATTGAGATTTAAAAAACCAAACATTTTCAGAATTAAAGACATGGTTACTTGAGTAACGAAATTAGTTCCTTTAACAGATTTTTTTCTGTATTGTTTGAAAACAAATTACGTTTATCTACAGCTTTGCACCGACAATATAATTTTGACTTTAAAACTGTACTGCAGTCTGTGTTACAAGAGTATCAGCAGCTCTGTACTGGCAAAGGCATAAAATAAGTATGTTAATAGCACTTTTGAAGTTGAATGCTAATAATGGTTCTAGTTCTAAATAAACCAAAATTCATCTAAAACTATGAGAGACATCATTTGTAAAAAGAGTATTTTCAACTTTAGGCAAATATTGCTGGAAAACCAGACAGGCTTTTAAAAAATCAGAGATTTCCTTTAAGTCTGAAACAGAAGTGACTTTAAAATAAGTAGAGACTAGAGAGATCTGCTTTTAGACTAACTTCACTACTACCAATTTCAGAAAAATTAACTGTTGTGTTGTTTTACTCAATGTGTAGATAGCCAAGCAGTAATAAAAGGACCATTTTTTCTTCATCTCTGTTTGGTTAGGAAACCCTCCTTTTTCCTGAGCCACAAGTTTAGCCATAGGAATACAGATTATTCCAGGCTTGATTATTGTAATAGTCTCAATATTCAATGTTTATCAAATATACTTCAGTTAATCTAGCACATAGCAATCTTCTTTACAGGTGGTGCATGATGACAGAATTTAATACAGCCAGTCTATTATTAAATTGTATTTCAAAGTTCTGTGTTTCAAGGTCATCAATGCCTCCCCTCATCTGCTACTATACTTCCAATCCTATGGAAATTGACACTGAGGGGACCAATGTTTAAATCTACACACATTAAGGCACAAAATTTTTTTCTACTGTAGAAATTTCTTGCTACTGAAGTGGAGATGAATCCATATCTAACATTTTTTTATCACAATGCAAAACCTAACCATTCACAAACACAGCTTTTCACAGCATAAATAACCTATCAAGCTGATAGGTTATCCCTACTGAAAGTTAATTCAACTTGAAGGTGAAGGGCAAAAGAGAATCCTACTCTGCATCAACAGAGCTAAGGACTATCTCCTAGTAACAGTTTTGATGTTTCCCAGTTCATTAGTATGCTAGTAAATGAAACAAACAGGTATGTAATTAAGAGTGTTAGGTAATAACCCAGTAAAAAACATGTAATAGAATTTTGTTTCCAGATCAGTTCATTTTCTTGTATTTTTGGCTTGACATAAAGTGTTTTAATAATTTATTCAAAATTCTTATGTTTTTTTTTTTTTAAATTAAAAGCATACCAATCAACCTACCATAATCAGAACTAATTAAATTTATACTAATGTCCTCTGATTTAAGAGCTCTTTTCACTTCAATTTTCTTTGTCCAATTTCCAGTTTTCAGCAGCACAGAATCCCTGTAATATATCAGTAACGTTTCATTAGACATGGACAATGAAAACAAGACTATACCATGGCATTTGTAACCAAGTGAAAGTCTTTATTTGGTCTTAGTTCTCAGATTTTGCTTGGTAAGTGGCCTAGGAATAACCTTCCAATAATATATGATTTATGGCCATAAGAGTGCCAGGATCCTGCAGATCAGTTTCAGTTCTGCCAGAAGTGCCAGGCTTCAGCCAGAACTCATGTGTAGGTCATGCAGTTGGAAAAGATTTTGCTTCTCTTTTCCCACTTGCTCCAAGCGTATTTTAGCCAACTGGAGAATTTAATTCCATCTCTGAGTGAAAAATGGCTTTGACAATAAGATATAATTAAAGAAATATAGCTAATAACAGTAAGTTACAACTTGAGAATGTATCTTTTTAATAGGTATTTTTTTTTATATTTATGTGGAAATTATTATGACTTCCATAATATGATGTCAGTGTTGTTCAGATATTTACACACACTCTCTGTACTGACAAGCACACTGGCATGTTTTGGGGATTTTTGAATCTTTTACAGCATTTCAAATTACGACAGTGACTATTAAATGCTGTAGGATAATTTTGTACCATTTGGCATCAGTAGAAAGTATTGCAAAAACTGCAAGTTACAGAAAGGATTAAAAGCCAATACCCTTAAAAGATGCAAGGCAAAGAAACCTCATCATACATACATAATTTTCTGATTAAAAATGACTTGGTTGTCAGCATCTCCTATGACCAATGTAACATAGTGAAAGTCTGTTGCTGTTCTCTTTGTCTGTAGCTGCTCATAGTTTGTCAATTTGATGGTTATCAAGATTTCAGCCAATGTATCACTGTATTTTGGAAGCTAGAAAAAAGTTATATAGAAGACATAACTGCTGTAATATACAAAGTAAAATATATGTCCTTCCATAAATTTTTAAACATTGATACAAGCACAAAAGTTCTGTTCAAGCAACTTCAATTTGTGGTACAATTTTTGTTGTTCTGAGACACTATTATGCACTATACTAACTTGCGCATAGCTGAATATCCTAAAATTGATTAAGTATTGAGAATAAAAGACAGTCTACATTAAGCCCTTGAAAAATTCTCCTCTGTTCAATGTAAAGAGAAAGATGCAAGAAGAAAACTAGGTATATTTTGGCATCCCAACATTCCTCCATAAGATATTTATCATTGTTAAATCTTTATTCTGAGAATAACTTCTGAGATACTCATCTGATATTATGTCAAATTAAAAACTAAAATGCAACTGATCATTATAAACACAGTAGTTCACACATTCATCAAGTTTTTAACTTCAAAGGTGTCTTCAACTTCACAGATACTTTACTGCAAAATAAGGCTATTTTTCAAGTTTTGCATTTTAGAAAGGTAGTGTGGCTATGTGACCTGTTTAAAGACAAAATCAAAACCTCAAAGCTCTTGACTGCACAGGGAATTTATATTCCTAAGTGTGATGTAGAAAATAAACACAAGTTAATGCTTCTTCAGTAAGTTTTATACAGATGTTTTTCCATCTCTAGGGTTTGTTTATATTCAAGATAGAAGAGACCTCTCAGACTCACATATAATGCTAGCATGTGGAATATATTGGTTTGCATCTCTAATGTAAAATGCTATTAACAAGAGAAAGAGAGAGAGAGAGGGCAATCTATTATTATAGGGAATGTCTATTCCAAGGCTCTCCATTAGTTTTTAAATGTTTGACTATACATGCTAAGGTGGAAGGAGGTCACAATATTGTGTAATCTCCTATCAGCAAAGGCTCAAAATTTCTTAAAATCAGTATTTGCTCTTTCATTTGATAATATGAGCATAAAAACATAAAATAAATAGGAAAGCATTACCTGTTCAATGTCAAGTTCATATTTTGGAAGGTGCAAAACAGATTCTTTTATCTGGTTTCCAAAAGGAGGATGTCTGTTTAAAATCTGCAGAGATTTAATTTAATTTCTGATACATTCAGCTGATCAGAGATGCCAACAGAAATGTAAATCCAAGGAAACAAAGTCACCAGAGTAATTATGCTATCAAGAAAAGCTCTTATCACTCCTGGTTCTCTACTGTCAGTGATGCTCAGAATAGCAACATAACCAAAATAAAATTCCACTACTATTTCATGTTTCTACCACTGCTGTTCAGGTAACAGCCAATGAACTAGCCAATAACCCCAAAACCTGACTACTCAGGTTTTATCTGAGATGGCTCTTCTATGTTGCCCTAGTCAAAACAAAACAAATTAGAGGGAAACTGCAAAAGGGGGCAGAAAAGAGAATCCAATTCCTAAAGTCAAAACAGAAAAATCCAAGAAAGATTGATTTCCTTCAAAAATCTGTTGTATCTTCCAGAACACTGGAAAAACAGTTTCCTCAGAAAAGAAGCCAAGGGCCAAAGAACTTGTCTTGGGGTAAAATCTCACTTCCCTAAAATAAGAAGTGTTTTACAGATGATTCAGAAGAATTTTATTCTACAACTATCTTTAACTAAAACTAGCATTAACGGAAATTCAGGACTCATCATTAACACACATTAAGAAAATCTGTAAATACATATTCCCTTTGATATATTTTTCTAACATTCCTAAAAGGGAAATTCATATTCTCCTTTGTTTCAAACCACGTTTATGATGAAATTCTACACATTTAAGCAACTGCTTTCCAAAACCAGCTACGTCAGTGAGATCATCCACATTAAATTCATACACATATAAATGTTCGTACATATTTTCAAGGAAAAATAGCAGTAGCCACATTTTTTTTAAATTTACTAGTATAAATGAATAAACTGCTTAAAAACTTCAATTTTGCTGACAATCATATAGCAGATATATATTAACCATACTGCTTTTACTGGTAACAGTATTAATACTCAGTATTTTTCTTATCATATTTATCTGCATACAACAGAATAAGTTACCAATTCAAGTTCCCTTGCATTTGTGTCTTCTATTTTTTTAAATGATGTCAGCCCAGCATTTACCATAGTGTTTGACAGTGATACACCTGTGAAAAATTTAAATTTTATGCTGTTAAATGACAACCACTAATCTCAAATTATTCTTAACAACTGCATTATAGTAGGTAAAACCAAAGCAGAAATAATTTTATAGTATGTTTGTTCCACTTTTTTGTCCAGCATATCACTAAGTTTTTTCAGTTGATTAAATATTTTATTATTATTTAATTTCACTTATCCATGAGTGAAGATAAAAAGAAATGCAATACAAATCAAACCTGAAAAAATTCAATCATTCAATACTGACAACTTTAAATTACATTTTATAGAGTAAAACAGATTTTAGATCACTTTCTACAAGAGTCAAGAAACATGTTCTGAATATATATGATGAAAAAAAGCATGTCACACAGCATTCTCAGAAGTTTTTCCCCTATGCAAGGAATTATTTAACTATGTTGAAGTCATAAGGATCTCAGTGGTTTTGAGCAAGCCAATAATGAAATTCACCCAAAACCTGATTTATTATAATCACCTATGAGTCTTTGCAGATTTAGCAAAAAATTTTCCCATGGCATATTTGCCACAAAAGCAGACTGGCAGAGAATTCCACATACAATCTTATTCCTCTTTGTGATTCCCAGTTCTTTTAAACTTCCAGTCAGATTTAGAGTTTTCACAGCATATGAAAGGCATTTCCCTTACCCGGAACTACAGCCTACTACAGTAACTACAATAATTTTAGATAAAAAATACTATCAAATACTTAGAATGAGTATGTGGAGTCTTCATACTTAATTCTGTAGAAACAGTAAAAGAGATCTGAAAATTAAGTGGGAAACCTCTCAAGAGACTCTTGGGTTGCCTATTGGAAGATGTTACAGCAATCTTGTAAGAAAAGACTCACTTCAATGCAAGAAGTTAATGCTTTAGAGAAACAGAAGATCTTTTGTCCTTTTATGTATATTTGAACACTTTTTGGGTCTGACTTAGGGAAGGCATCTTCTACCATCTCCCCTCTCCTTTGCAGAAGCTCTGCAAACAGTCTGAAGACTGAAGACTCTCACTACTTCTGCAGCTACTTCAGTTAGAGCTGTTGCCTTGTTTCTTTATAAGTGAAGCTGAAAACTAGTTCTTTTGTCATAATTCCTAAAATGACAGAAGAGTTTCCACCAGTGAAGAAAATACAAGATACAAATAAGACATTTTCTCCTTGTCCTTATCTGTTTCTGAGCAAGAAAAAAAACAGAAGTGTAAATCAAGCTGAACAAGTAGTAAAGGCGATAAAATCCTGTACAGCAACTGATCATTATCCTGTCTGTCAGAACAAGCTAACAGAAATAAAGCATATCATACAGCAATGACAGGGAGCATCATTATTGGACAAGAGTAACAAATTGAGATAATTGTAGAAATGCAGTAAGAATTCAACTGAATCTTCAATCTCAGTAAGGCCAAATGTCAGTTACAGAACAATCACTCTTACAAAGGAAATACCGATTACTAAGGCTATTTTTTAAGATTGAAAAAAATAACATACTGAGATAAGTTTAAAAATCAGGGATTTCTGAATATATTACATGATATCAGTACACTTCCATGAGCTCAAACGATTCACTTAACTTCACAAAGACCTAGAATAGGCTTAGCAGCCATAGCATGACAGAGATCAAGAATCAGACATCATAACATAGGCATCAATTCAATATTTGATTCAAGAAAAAAAGAGTGAACTGTCAGCAGACAGTTCAAAAGAAGCCTATGAGCAGAACAAATGGAATTTTGAAAGTCAGCAATTTTTTGTAACGTACGCTGCAAGAGCAAAGACAGCATAGGAAAAAATACCAAAAAAAAAGGAAAACAAGACAGAGATGTATATATAGCACTTCTATTATTAAAAAACTAAAACTGACTTTATTCTATTGAATATAGTGTACTGGAAAGGGTTTGTCTACACTGCAAGTGCCATGTTTATTCCACTCATCCTAACCCCCCTGAAATGCTGAACATGAGGCAGACTCCTCAAATGATCGTGTGCACATCAGCACAGATCTGGCAGCTGTGGAAATGGGTTCCCAGCACGCTGTACTGTGCTGCGCACAGGCTAACAAGCCTTGTCTCTTGATTTGGATCCACATGAATGAAGTAATACACCTTCTGCACCTGAGCTGGCAAGGCTGTAATGTACTGTACCACAGGGATGTTCTGGCTTAGCTATTCTGTAATTTGTAGGTCTCTCTACTATCCTGTTCTGTACAGAGCAGGTGTGTCTTTAAAGAGGAAATACAGAAAACACTGCAGTGAATTCTGGAAGCATGAAGGTATGATAAGACCAGAAATCAAAGCGGGAAGCTGTACTACTACCTCAAACAATTAACTACATTTTTGTAATAGAGGACTCGGAAATTTCTGAACTCCTTTTCAAATAATTACGACAAGGCGGTACTTCCAGCTAGAAGTTTGTCTGGTAACAGAGCACAGTGATAGAAGATTATTAGAAACTTGTGATCCTCATGTGTATAAGAACGTCATGCACAGTAAATTTATTTCTATTTCACGATTCCTATCCATGTCAATGCAAATTAAAGGGCTCTCATGCATACGAGTAACAGGACCTACAGTGACAGCTGTCTGGAAAGGAAGGCATAGCCTAGTCAGAGATGTGCAATCACACAAATGTGGAATATGCCCAAGATACTGAGATGATCATTAAAAAAAAGGAACAACTCTGAAATACTTCCAAAGCCTGGAGAAAATTACTGAACAGATTACTTTTACTTTCGTCATGACAGCCTATTCTGACAACTGTGGTACTCTATTGTGACAAATGAGTAATTAGGAGACTCATTTAACTATGTAGAGCAGACACCCCAGAAATTAGCAGGCTATTTGTGAGTTTTGATTCGCTATCAGATTACAACTTTATAATTTCTGACTAGTACCTACCAATTTTTTCCAATTGCTTAGACACATGAAGTGAATTTTCCCAAAGTTTGCACCTGAAACACTTTGCTAAAATCAGAGAATTTAAAAAAGCAGAAAAGTTGTTCTTGCATGATGCCAGGAAGTCAGATAACCCTGTAAAAATAAGACTGACTTGTATTAATCAAATAAAAATGTACCTTATTATTATATGTACTAGAAAAGGATTAAATTTTACCATACATCTAGTAACTCTTAAGCCATTTCTAAATATTCTGCCAGTATCTTGCGTCAAAGTGAAGTCCTGAATAGGAATGCATCCTAGCTGAGCCTGAATAAGACTAGAAAAAAATATGTTTTGGTGTATAAGCCATACAGTAAGCAAAGTATAACAGCATAAAAGTTTCTACTGGAAAACATAAAAAAATTCAGAATAGAAAGAATGAAATGCAAGATCTGGTCCTCTGTAAAACAACGCAAATTTTAACAGGGTCTTCAACAGCCATAAACGACACCTTTTTGTTAAAAAGCAACAACACAATATAATATTTACCAGTTTATTTTCATTTCTCTTGTTTTTATCTTCCCCTCCATTGGAAACCTATGTATGAAAATATACATGTTTTCTGCTATTGATTTTACTTATTGCTAAAAAGATACTTTCCTTTGTCGGTGTATTTATTTGCTATACCTGATAGTCATTTTGTCCTTGTCTTTATTCAAAGTGTTAAGTATTTTCTTTTCATTTATTCTTAACTTGACATCCAGAAATTCTGTGCAGTTGGAGATCATTGTAATCTGTAAAAGTTTAACTTTTTAATTAATTGTCTGTCTTTGCCATTTTTTCTATCACTTCTTCCAACTTTTTAAAAAAAAAAAAACTTTTAAAAACATTTTATTTTCTCAACACTATGACCATGAAAAGATGGTCAATCTGTTCTTTCTAATACTGACCAATGTTCTTTCATCTTCCTATAAAGGCTATTATATAACAAAAGGAAAAGGTTCTTCTTTCAGCTTTTAATTACTATTCTACTTGAAATTATCCACAAATCAACCACACTGCTAACACTTTATGACATAAAAGGCAAATATAAATAGTTTTTGCTATCTGTTATGTATTTCATTTTACTTTCTTCATATTTTACTAACAAAGAGCCATAGGAAAACAGGCATTCCATTTTTTTCATGGCCCATCTGTTCTACCATGGTATTTGCTTGAAAATAAAATGCCTTTTGTGACTTAACAGTGGCAATAACCTGTTATCTGACAGAGGAAAATTTCTTAAAACAGAAAGACAGTAACATTCCTTTAGAAGTAAAATCTGCTCTCCATGCAGCTGGTTTTTGCAGTAAGGAAAAACTACTAAGCCACAAAACAATACAGTGTTTAATACATAAACAGAACAGCTTCAGCAACTTTGTATCTTCATAAGCAAGGTTAGTGAGGGGAGAAAGAGTTGGAAATTGAAAGATCTCAGAATACAAAGCCTCAAAAATACTCCATATGGAATTTATTCAGATGTATTCTCTAAAATTTTATACTTTACATAAACAAAGCCTGCGCTTTTTAAAAGAAAAAATCCCCTTCTGCTTCTTATCTTTGATCTGTTTAAGTCAATGAAACATTTGTAAATTTTATTGAAAAAGTTAAATTACCAATTCATTCAAAGTCTCTGTTCCCTTAATTGTGAAAAATTGTTTCACTGTATCAAATGCAATATAATACCATGCCATTAATCTTCCAGTCTCTGTAAAAGAAGAATATACCTTAAAAAATAAATACGCAAAGTATGTTTTTAGTGCATTTTTTTTAAGTCACAAAATCAAATTAATTTTCTTATTACAGGGCTCTCTGAGATTTACCACCATTGACTCAGCATGTTATTGCCCCTAGCTGTCTGATGGATATTACTGATCCCATCATAAAGTGGCAGAAAGAAACACGTGCCAGTTACAGTTTTCTCCAATGGAGATGAATTCACACTAATATACTAGACTGTGAACTGTGACTGCGGAGAATCCAACCACCTCTATCAGAGGATTGTAGAGAGGAGCAGGTATTGATAAAACCTGTCCTTCATTGCAACGTGTCACATCCAATTATTCTGTGATAGTGTTCTGTAATTTTCTCCTTATCTGCAATAAAATTTCCAACAAGAGAAGATCTATTTATGGATCAACATTAAGAGAATGAACTTCCGTGATTTGTTAAATAAACTTGCTCATATATTCCAGTCAAACAGTCTCTCAGATTCTGCCCTCTACTACATTTGTATACTCCTATTAATGGGTCATAAGAATAGTTATGACCCTTTGTAGTTCACTACTATCTCAACATCACTCTGAAAATTAGTTTATTTTAAAAAGTGTTACCTGTTGGTTTGAAATTATTTGTTTCATCCATCCTGATCAAATCAAAAGATGATAAATCATTTAAGTTCTTCAAACACAGTTCTGTCGACAATTTGGAAATATATCTATTTTTAGTACACGCAGAAAAACTTATGTACAAACCAGAAACAACATCATCAACTTGCAATGAATGTATACCCAAATAATTCTACTGAACTCAAATAAAGGTTTTAGAATATGATCCTGCTTCTACTAAAATTGGTGGTTAACTTCTCCCTGGGGAAAGCTCCCTAAAAGATATCTGATACAGGACAACTCAACTCTTTTTCAGTAAAGTAAAATTAGCAAAGTAAAAGAAACTAGATGCACTGGACAGCCCACAGTATTTATACAAATGATTTCTGCTACAGTGCTAACACTTAAGTGGTTGAAATTTCAATATCCACAGGTATTTATGAATCCTTCATCAGAAATCTTCATACTGCATAAGGTGCATTTGTATTTACTTCACTAAACCTATTTAGTTGGATATCTACATGAAGATGACCAAAATGTTTTGGTTTTCTGTCTTTCAAATCCAAGGTAATTAAAATGCAAAAATTAATCCAATGTTCCAGATTTAAAATTAAATTGGGAAAGCACTCAAAATGATAGTTCCCTGAAATCATTCATATTGTACATGAAATGTATGAAAACATTATTAATTATACACATTACTACAAAATATTAATGTGTGCAGGGAAAAGCAGCTAGTTTCTGTAAGAACTTTAAAAAGGGGCTATTTTTAAGACCATAGCACTTCAAGGTAATATAATCCACACCTAAAAAGCATTTTTAAGTGAAGCCTTCTACCCTAGCACTGTCTGTAGAGGTGATTTCAAACCATGCCTTCTCGCATAAATTCTCCCTCTTATTTAGGTAGTAACATGCTTCATTCTCTACCTTCCTTTCAACCTATATGCCAAAAATAGAAATGTCCTGATCTAAAAGACAGGAAAAGGTAGAAAACAACTGAACAAGCATATGAACTAGGCAACTTTCTTTCCTATCTGCAAGTCACAGTCAATGTCTCTCACACTTGGAGACTTCATGCAGTAGTAGATATACTAAGTGTATTCCTGGAGATGGGTCCTTGAAACCCTTATACAATAAACAGCCTCAGCATAGTTCCACCAAGCCCAACAACAATCACAATTTTTTTCTACCCAATTGTGTAAAATTTAATGTATATGTAAGTGGAGTTCAAGTATTGGGTCTACAAATTTCAGGGCATATATCAGTCTATTTTTTTCAGGTACCAGGCCCCCCTTCAGATATTTAAGCTCCAAAGGGTCTAGCATATAAACACACAGAATTATGATGAACATGAGGACCTTCCCTGAAGAGAGAAAAATGCATTTGAAGATATTCAGAACTCCATTTAAAATCTTAGCAAGAAGTCTTTTATTAATATACTTATTTTGGATCTACTAGAAAGCGTATGTTTAAATAAAAAAGACTTGTATGTTATTTCCATATTTAAAGATGAAAAGCACTGATTCCCAAACTATTTAGTCAGCTGAAGGTTATCTGATGGAATTGCAAATAACTAAAAAGCAGTATTTTAAAAAAATAAATAAAATTAAATAATTTGGTTTTATTCATGCCTTAGCAACAAAAAAAGCCTCTTGAAAGTAGTCTTCCAGTAATTTTTACAGTATTACAGGGAAAACATGGTGGTGCTAATATTTTTTTTTGTATCTATAAAGTTGGATGCCTCATTCTCACATTACTGCACACTTAAAGACCAAATGCAATTTCTTATTTATATATTTGCATTCTCTCAGTTCTTTGCTACTGTATGATGCATTTGCTATTCATATGCAAATTTCATAACTAAATTTGGGATTAAAGTAGCAAAATAATTCTTAAGAGGATCTACTAAATCCATACCTCTCAGATATGACTGATATTGTATGGAATGCTTAATGCACAGAAGTCTTTGAAAGACTGCAAGTCTTCCCTTGACTCCCCTTAGCAAAATGAGTAATTCAATCCATAAGGGCCAATTTTCAGGTAACAAGCAAACAATACACTAGAATGTACATCTCTGATGCAAAATGTCATGGTCAGAGAGTGGAATTTTCAGATCATACCAGTCCAGACGTCTGAATAGCAAACCTGAACAGTGTGAGTACTGTGATTTACCTGTACAAAAATACAGAACTTAAGATCTGCTCCTATTCTCCAATTTACCAAGTCCATCCCTGGACGAGATCTGCCACACTCTGGAGTTCTCCAAAATTACCTTTTCACATTATTTATGCATTTTTGAGTGACCAGTGCAAAAATATCAATCATATAAAAAATAACATGTTCTCTCTCTCCACCTGCTCTTTTTTATTGCTGCCTAACATGCTATAATCATGCAGTTTTAAACTCTTTCTGAACAAGGTGAAGATGTTTACATTTTACATCCTTTGTTTTCAATGCTAAACTTGTAATGAAGGGAAGATGACAATTTCTGAGGAGGGCTTTTTTGGAAGTATAATAACAGAAATTAATGAAAGCAAATGAGATCAAAGGAAAATTAGGAATAATGACAAGCAATCAAAATTGAAGTGCTCTGCTCTATATTTCTGAGTATATGGAGATGAGGTAGGTAAAGGCAATTTTTTTTCCTCTATACAAGAAGAACTCTTCCACCAATCAAAATGTACTGATAGTGTTTCAAAAGTATTAATAATTAAATAAAATCAATAGCACAACATAGTAAATTACTTCTGTTCTGTGAATGGATATTGAAATTAATGGAGATATATAATAAACATGGATGAACCTGCCCTAAAAATGTAATGTTTTACTGAAAAAAACTTAAAGGTCACTTACCTTGTAATTTTGCTTCAATTCCGATTTTATCTAATCCAGGTGAAAAACCTTCACAAAAAGGCAAAATGCTTTTTAACCTAATACAGTAATATATTTCTGAATATCATTACCCTTCAAAACTGATTTGCTGATTTTTGGGAGCTAGACAAATATCTCGAATTGAAGAATTTGTAAATATTTATTATACTGGGAACAATTCAAAAGCCTTACATAGTGTAAGTATCTAAGTATTATTAAGTGGCTGTTACAACAGATGTGCAAAGGTAAAAGCTGCAGATATCCCCCTGCGTAAAATATCAGAGTCCTAAAAGCTGTAGAAATGTCAGTGAGCAACTTCACGTGTAGAGCCATCCTATTTTAGAATACAGGAAGCCACCTAAATTATAACATCCATTCAAGTACTAGATGTACCATGTTTCAGTTGCATCTATTAATCCTTAAAAAAAATTGTCTCCAGCAAGTGCCCAGTAATTTCACGATCAGGTGTAGAGCAAGTGGCCAGGAACAAAGATATGGTCAGAACTGAGGACCAAGAGGCTGTTCTGTACAAGTCAAATCGAAGACACCAGCATTAAGATTATTGGAATTTTGTTTTAGAAAAAACTATAAAATATTAGACTTTTTTTTTCTTAGCAGATTACATATTCAGTACTGAAAAGTACATTAAGGCTTGATACTGCATTAATACATGGTCGAGTTTACTAGGATCAAAAGCAATATATCATTATGAAGCTCCTTCACAGTTTTTAAATATTATACCATGCTGAAATTCCTATTATATTAAAACAACTGAAACTGTTGTTCCTAAAAATGTTACAGGCCATATTACACATCTTGTTTTCAACCCCTTATGAACTAATAGTCCATAAGAAAATGACAGAAAGAAATAATATGGATCTAATACATTCTAGTGTCATAATTTTGATCAATAAAAACAAACCAACCAACCAACCAACCATAATGAGTTGGATTTTTTAAAGCTCTAATGTACAAGAATGTTGATCGTATCCACTCCAAAGCTACAGTGACATCTGTGACGGTATGTAGCACTATTTCTGCATTTAAGTGCTCAACAAGATGCCTGTGTAAGCTAGGGGAAAAAAAAAAAAAAAAAAAAAAGGCAAGTACATTTACCAATGAGTACTACAAAACTGCTAAAACTATTTTTCAAGAAACCAAAACAAAGCAAACCCCTCCCCCCAAAACCACAACAGTTTTATGCCTTTTTTTTTTTACTGTCAACTATTCACTTCAACCAATGAAATCAATAAAAAACAGTAAAGAATATCTAATCAACAATGTAATTTGTTTATTATGGCTTAATGTTCAGCAAGTAAAAATAAAAAAACTCTGTCAACTGTAAAGTTTCACAATTATTTAAAAAACAAAGCTACATACATTTAAAAGTTAAAGCAAAATAATGTGAAAAATCAGTCTGTAGAAGCTATGAAATATTGCTACCATCTATATAGTCTCATAAAAAAATACTTAGTTACCTGCTCTCTATTATATCAGCACCATTTAACATCTGTATATACTTCTCCCTTGTACTCCAACGAGTCATAATAACTGCTGTAGCTGTAGTGTCAAACTGAAAATTAAAGCCACAAACAAAGACTGTTCTTTAGGTCTCAGCAAAAAAAATCTGGTTGAATAAGCATCATGTATCTGTGGAAACCATTAAAACTATTTTTGTCAAATCATTGTTGAAATAGCTGTTGAAAGCCAAGGCCTCTCTAACTTAAAGGCAAGTTCTGACTCATTTGGGTAGCAAGCAGGACTTGTGATTCCAGCCATTGCTCGCAGACAAGTCCGCACACCAGCCTGTATGTGCTAATGTACATATAACAGAGATATGGCGAGAAACAACACAGATATGAACTGTTATTGACCTCCTTACAAGGTCCACAGCTACAGAAAGAATTCCTAACTACAACCACAGAAAATAATTTATTGACATGAATTCTCATTAGTAATCACCAAACATTAGAAAGTCTTGAATGGACTGTCAAGTCTTCTATAAGTAATTTTTTATAATCTTTATCATCTACTCTCAAGCTACTCACTTAGATTATTTTGTTTTGTAGTAGGAAAAATATTGTTATACTGATTTATTATTTTTTGTACGAGAAGTTTCCTGACTTCCATTTTTTAAATCAGATTAGTGTATGTAATACTAAAAGGCAGATCTTAGTAAGTATTTCAGGTCTGGACTCAGTAAGCTAAAGTGGTTTAGGATTCTGAGTCACAACTTTAAAAATCTTACTGAATTATAATCTCTATCAGAAAAACCCCAATCAGTTAAGAAAGTTAGGAATACTAGAATTTCCATACTAGTTCAGAACTTAGGTCCAGATAAAATACTTTTATGTACACAATATACCACAGTGGCTAATATAAACAGCTTCTGAGACAGATCTCGGGGTAAGCTATCTCCCATATTAGGCTTTATTTGTATTTCTAAAAATCAAAAGACTTAAAAGTGTAAGATTTAACAGAAATTATCTTGAAACCTTAAAGAGATATAATTAAAATATTTTTAAACTCTGTTGTCGTCCCCCCAGCTCTACCCTTCCTTTTTACAACCAAAGCAATGTCTACAACCTTTCCAAATCAGAGCATTCTTAGCATCAGCAACCTCTTGTGGAAGCAAAATGAATTATAGCTTTTTAAAGGCAGTGCTCCTGACCCTCCCCCTCTGCTCCATTTCTAACTTAGATGTTTTCTTGTTCTGATATTATGAGAACAAAAGCACATTTCTATCTATACTGTCCAATATTCCAGATTTTTTTTTATAATGCAATTTATAAGTTGCGTGCCAGCTTCCTACTTTTTCTCTAATCCCCATTCATTGGGTAACCCAAAGGTAATCTTTAGATTTTTTTCCACAGCAAGGTGAAGCAGTACTTTTTAGTGGACAATATGAACACAAATTTCTTTCTCAATTAAGAAATTACCCAGGAGTAATTTAACTACTAATAACAACCCTTTAAAAACTAAATGCTGCAGTAAAATTATTGGAATTGTTGTTTCTTTGCCAAGAACAGTTTCTACTATCTGCCTATAGATAGCATCAATATAATACAGCATTAACTTACTTGAGGCCTTCCTGCTCTCCCAATCATTTGCAGAATATCAGTTTCACTGTACTCTTGAAACATTCCTCCAACATAGTGCATTGTGGATTTTATAACCACCAGATGTGCAGGTAGATTGACTCCCATAGCTAAGGTGCTAGTAGTAACTAGATTAAAGTATATTGATTGCAAGATGAACACCACTGAAATGTCTGGCAGACATCAAAAAAGCAGAAAATAAGTGACTAACTCTTGATTCATAAGAGCTCTTATTTTCTAGTGAAGTCAGTGGGCGTACTACACCACAAATAATTAGACTTACAGACATGTATTTGCATAACAACTTCTGTGTATTTGATCATCAGCATTCATTTACTATCAAGTATTCTTTAACAAACCACATCCCAGATATTTTTAAATGTTCCTTAACATTTGGAGATAATCCAAAATCCAATCCATCTTCAATATAACATGCACACACCGAAGAAATATTATTCATATTTCTTCATGGATAGATATGTGAATATAGCCATGACTTCATCTTGCTTTGTGGGGATCAATATCTTTAAGATGTACTTTTAAGTCATCAGTAATTAGCATTGCCTATATCCATGTTACCAATCCAGAATCACCAGCAACACTATCATAACACTTTACCAATGCATATTCTCACATGAAAAGCACCAGCTAAGTTTGTGGCAAATTATCTCACACTCATGTTTTCTAATTCACTTTCCTGAACAAATATATGGGGTGGCAGAAATTGAACATGGAAAGCTAGCTATACAGGCCAACTGATATAATGATTCCACTAGGAAAGCAAAGTATTAATGAATTTTCCAATTATTTTTTTAAATGAAAGAACTAAAATTAGTATTTAGGTGCATCAGGAAAGAGGAATCCAATCTAAACTAAAGCCGTAACCACACCACTTTGTGAGAATATAATGTTTTCATATTGTGATGGTATGCAAAATGAGAAATTTGTCAAAGCAAAATGACCTAACCATAAAAAAGTTGCAAAGAAAGGTTACTTACCAGTGCAGTCAGAGCTTCAGTCCACATATATGTATGTACATATATATATACACACGTATACACAAACATACACTGTGAGTATATATGTACTGTATTTCAAGGCCAAAGAATTTTTCCCCTTTGCAGTATTTGTGAAAGGTGTGTTAAAACTCTATCCTCATCATGCTTGCAGACATATAAAGTGAAATATACCCCATACTCTTTCAGTTTCCCCTCAATTGTAGAAATGTAATTTTAGTATCTCAGATGATTCTGAAATACTCATATGAACTATAAATCTCGAAGTATTTAAGTACCAATAAGCAACTTTGCATTCATTCGGTGGTAGTCCATATGTATGTTCACATTGTGCTCAGCTGTGGCACAGGGTCTCAAAGTTATTTTTGCGAAGAGCAATTGTAGAACCACAGTTTCCTGAGATTTCTGAAATGGCACCACAATTGTCAAAGCCATACACAGTGCAGCAGGCAGCCAAAGTACAATAGACTGCAGGGATGCAGAGACTTTTTATACCATGGGCATTGCAACTCTACTAAGCTTGCCAGATCACAGTAAGGGTATCTACCTTCAATTTTCATAGTGAGTCATGACCACTATACAGGAAAGAAAAAAAAATCCATTAATCTTTCAGTGTTGTAAATGAACCACACAAACAATTCCCCACAGGGTCTGAATCTTTACAGAAGAAAGCCTGGAGGAGGTGAGATTGTCACGTCTCAAACAGATACCTTCTCATTTCAGTTAACAGCAGACAGAGTATTTCTTAGGAACCTCCCTATCAGTCAAAACACCTTGCAAGGAAATCTGAAAATAATATCCTGCCCATCTAGAGAAGCATAAATGTAAAAGACTGGCTTCAGGGAAGACACTGCTGCAAAGGACAAAGACAAAAAAAAACATCATGTGAACTCTGAGGAAAGGCACACTAGCAGAGAGTTCCACCTCAGCAAGATGGCTCAGTGGTATGAAAAGGAAATGGACATGGCAAGACCTATACAGACATATGAGGGAGGATGACCTCTGTGTCTGCTGAAACGAATAAAAGTTCTATGATCTTTGGTAACAGTGTGTATGTATACTCACAGGGTAGTAGTGTAGTGGAATATAAACACATCTTTATCTGGATTTCCAGTAATTCCAAAGGATAAACAAACTATAGAATCATAAAATTTTTCCACTTCCAAACCGTAATCTTCTCAGGATACATTAACAACATTTTGACTTTCAAAATTAAATTTACTTACAAAGTACTGGTAAGTCTCCTACAGTAAAAGCTCCTTCAATTATTTTTCTGTCAGATAACTCCATACCCGCATGATGATAAGCCACACCATACATGAAAAGATCTGATAATGAAATAATTATATCCATCCTTGACTAAGTTTACTCAAGCAAGTATTCATTCACAGAGCAGAGTAATAGTAGGTTATATTTACCTCTCAGTTTGGAATCTTTCAATGAATTTGCAGACCTCTGTAATCTATGCAACACAAAAAAAAAAAAGAATACTTCAAAATCACAAAACAGATTCACTAATGTCAGTGAAATATACAAAGATGCAAGCATATTTTTAAAAAGCAGAAATAAAGCTTCACATGAAACTAGATACACAATTACCTCGCTGAAGTTTGTAAGATATATTCCTTGACATAACATGCAGTTTTTACATACTATCCCACAGTTCTACTGCGTTTGTGCTTTTTAAAGATATTCTCAGTTTCCAACTACATGTTAGACTATCTAAAGGACAGTATTAAAATCCTTTTTTAAATATGCATTCTTTGGATATTTTCAACCACCACCTTTCCCATCTTTGCAAAAGGAACAAACTGATTCTCTGGGGCAGTTGTTGCAGCTTTTCCAGCCCAGTCATCTTTCCAAGTCACAACCTACAATCTTGATGTGGTTCACATAAGGCAAAGAAGACAATGTTTGAGATCCAAAATCAGAAAGTAGCTTCTGCAGTTGACATGATTAGGCAACCCTGAAGTAAATAATAACTAAAGTGGGTCAGAGCTCTATTAATTAAAGGTACCTGATAATGCAAAGACTTCTTATGGCTTAACTTAAAAAGACCAGTAAGACCACATTCAATTCAACTATTCATATACTTAATCTTTGCACTACAAGGCTTTACAGGTACATAGAATTTAACATTTGTATGTTTAAAAAGCAGCTTTCAGAAACAACTTAATGCTTGTGAAAAGTACCCTAAAAATTTGAAAAGCAAATAAAACTTTCCAAGAAGAATGCCAATTTACTAAAACAAATGTCAACTGTGATGATGATTTTGTTGCAGACACTCCTTTCCTAGAAATTGTATTAGCTCAACAGCTTTCTTCACAATGTCACAGGTTTACAAAAAACACTTATTAACAACTCAAATATAAAAATACCTTTGTTTCTGTTCTATACTCAGTAGAAATTTAGCATCTTTTGCAAGAACAGAAGCAGCCTGCTGTACGCCTTTTCTTGTGGCACAAAACTATAAATAAGGAAAGATTTGTTTGAATTAACACTTTTAAGATAGAAACAGTTTCAAATGTGATGAAAAAAACTCTATTGTACCACAAGTGCTGGTTTTTGTTCAGAGTATGTTTGTATAATACTAGCTATCTTGTAGTTAAGAGTTAAGTCAAATTTGAATTCTGTCTGATTGTCACTGCAAGGAAAACCAAGCACAATTTTGCGTAGCTTCACTGGTCGTTGATCCTCATCTATTTTCAGACATACAGCAGGCATCTTACGATCGGAAAGCCATTCTGCAATCTTTAAAAAAGAAGAAATAGAACGAAAATGATAAATTTCTGCTTTTAATCTAACTGCATCACACAATAATTAACTTAGCTTTTGCCACATATAAACCAAATAGCACATTTGACATTGCTTTTATCTTTAAAATCACAGGTGAAGGTCTGCTTTCTACAGGACCAACATAATTCAGACTGAAACCTCAATTTGTGAGAATCATAAAACCTGTGATTTGTACTTAAGAGACAAAAAACATAAACAGAAATCAAACTGAAGCATGCCCATGCTTGGCTGATAGTTCCATATGGTTGCAGGTCATTTGTTACATTAACATCAGCCTCACAGCTGTCTTCAGCTGACACCTTCAAAATGACAACTTCATTATCAACCTGAATTTATAACTCCAGGTAAATTTCATAAAATACAACTAGATTAATTAAAATACAGTTAAAATGTAACTCTTACATCTTCAGCATTTGGGATTGTTGCAGAAACAGCTACAAATCTCAAGGGAGGCACAGTGTCATGATTTGCTGAAAGACGCCAAAGAGAACACTGAACAGTCTTCATTCGACTGACTACAACTTCTAATGTTGCACCACGGCTTTCATCCTTTATAACATGCACCTATTAGGAATTTTAAAAGATTTGCTACATATGTCTCCAGTTACAATCTATACATGTGTTAAATAAATGTTACATTTTCTAAGTTTCCTTTTATCTTCAAGAACAAAACCTGTGCACATAAAACTTCATTTTTTTTACCTCATCAATGAGAAACAGTCGTACAAGCTGGACTATCGAGTTGTCTCTCCACCTTCTAGTCATGCTATCCCATTTTTCCTAGGAGAAAAAAACAACACAGCAAAACAATAACAGAAGGTGAAAGATGTTTTAAAGATGAACATATGCCAGAAGTACAGTACAGGCAGACATGTCTAAACTTTAATAAATCTTTAAATAAAATCAGTTAAATTAATTCAAGCTAATGCCATGCATGTTTCATCTGGCACATTATTTTATTATTAACTATCGTTTATATGCACTAATAGTATACACAGCAGTGTGCAGGCAAGCATAAAGATCATAAAGTTACTACTTATAAAAAAAGGAGCAGTCCTAGTAGCACAGAATTAGTAGACTAGTAATGTCGACTTATTCTAGGTTTTTTAGAATTGGGATTGAAACCTACAGGTGTAGTGATGATAATGTGAGCGTGATGTATTTCAAATAAATCATCCATCACTGTATCTCCTGTCAGTTCCTTGCAGCTGAGTCCTACAGGCCCAAATTTTTCTTTCCAATCATCAAAACGTTGACTGCATAGAGCTTTTATTGGAGCCACTAAAAATACAACAAAATAATCAGAGTTGTATCAGGAAAACCAAATCTTCAACTGTACTGCTAAAGGTACTAAATGCGTATGTTTTTAAGATGTCTTCTTGAATTTAATTTCCATAATTTTCAGCTTTTCTCCCAGAACCACAAAATTTGTAACTGGTATTATTATCCTTATTATCCTATTCCATGTGCACAGATCAGTGTTGAGCTTTGGGCCCCAGTACTTCCTATCAGCAACCAGAAACAGAACCCTTTAATTAAGGTTATTTATGCCCTCTCTTAATCCTGATTTTTTCCTCAATCCCACATGGAAACAATCATTCAGGTATCAAAGGTTTTTTCACAGACGGAAGAAACCACAGGAAATACATATTTTCTAATGGAAGATCATACAAATATCAACCTTTTTCCAGTTCAGAATGATTTGAGCACTCCATATTCAGAGAGAAAAGGCACTATAAATAAGGAACTATCCACAAGCAAGATAGAATACCAGAAGAAATCAAAATCTATCTAACCCAAATGAAGTTAAGTATAGTCAAGGTGATGCCGAGCAGCTAACACAGCAGGTAGCAGTTCTGATGCTGGCCCTCATGAGCAGACTCCTAGAACAATCTATTTCTTAATTAGCTTTTTTTTTCCTGTGGACACATACTATACTTTTGCAGATGAGGTTGATTTGTAGAAATCAGAAGACATTCTCTACAAATACTGATGCTAATAACACATGTAAGTCTATATTGGATAGATAATCTATATGGAAAGAAGTAGTGATTTACACATAATCTGAAAACAGCATTAATAAAATAGATCTTGCAGTGATTACATTCTAGACTAGTTACAGTCACTAGAATATGAACCATTTCTGTGTGTCAGTTGACAAGTGATCCGTAAGATGAAAATATTTGAAGAACCAGTTTCTACTTCAGAAAGAGGTATGAAATTTTGTATCAGTGTCCTATAAAGCAGGGGAAAATCACTAGCTCTAGAAAACTGATTAAGCTACCAGCAAGTAACTCACAAAACTGCAAAAGTAATAATCTTTCGTTATGCAAGAAGCTAGTGAGTGCTTCTGAAACTTCAGTCCCCAACCCTTAGCATGTGTTAAAGCTACTGGGAAACAACTCTAATTTACACAACTACTGCAGGCTAATTCACATACACCAGTCCACTGACGAACCAGGTACCAGAGCATGTTCCGGCAGTACATAATCTGATTAAGACCTCTGTTCCAACATTTGGAAAACTGACACGTCTCCTTCCCCATCACTGTCAAACCTGGAAAGGTCAGCAGATCTAACTCCACCAGTGAGTAACTGCTTCCTTACTGAAAGTTCCAACCAGCCAACCTGTATCAATTCTACCAAGGCAATCAAAAACATTACAGTACACTGAAATGCTTCACCTCAATCTGCTGACAGAGAAACTATGATACGTATCTGTTTATAAAAGATCTGTTTATAATGCACAGTAAACTCTAAATCAACCATAGCTTTATTGTAAGAAATTGAACACATTGGAATTTAAAAATAAATAAGAATTAAGTTGAAATTTCTGCAACTATGGAGATTAATCATTAATAGCAAGACTGACAAATATATCACTGCACGAATTAATTAAAACTGGGACAAACCCACCCATTTAATCTGATTTACATGATATGAACTCAATTCTCCAGGAAGAAAAGAAGTGTAATTGTTGTGATTATCTTACAGTATTTTCATTAGTTCCTATACAGACCAATTAAACTCATGAAGATCACAGCTCTGTTGCCTCTAAACTAGTAGACAGAAAGTAATAGTAAGCATGAAATCTTGCCAGGTAAATGAATATTGGAAAATCTGATCCTCATCTCAGAGCAACAGACAGGCATACAAAAGATACTGCATGATTTCTGGCTCTGCCACTAAGAATTTGGTTTAGTTTCTTTTGCTTCCTTCTTTCCTTTTCATGTGCATCTTGCCTTATAAAGAGACAAACCCTTTATAAGACTTTTTTAAATTTTTTATTTGTAGAGGCAATGCTGAACACTACAATTACACAGTGCTGTTGAATACTAATAGTTACAATGGTATCACAAATAAACCAACCCTAAAAGAAACAACTTTTTAAAGAATGAGGTAAGTCACAATTTCTTAACATACTTAATTTCAATATTACTAAAGCACTCGCTCCCAATCTCTGCATTTACAGAATGACTTTTTCTACTGCTGTCACCAAAATGTTTAGAGCTGCATAATGCTTACTGTAAACAACTTTAATATTCAACCAAGGCAGTGGGGCTTCCATGAGTAATCTGGTAATAGCTAGCTCGAACATTACAGTTTTTCCAGAGCCAGTCGGAGCACAAATCACAAAATTTCGATCTGTATAAAGAAGCTAGGAAAGAATTGCAAAGTAGTAAATATAACACAGCTATCCATTGTATCAATTCATACATTCCAAAAGCATTGTCTAGGGGAAAATAACACGAGGAAATTATTATTACATTGATATATGTAGTCTAAAAAATTTTGTATTAGATATGATCTTTAAGTTACAGCAAAAGAACATCTTCTGCTACACATCTGCCATAGAACATAAATGAGATATGGTTCATCTAAAGTTATTATGTAATGAAGTCTACCATTCTGTAACAAATAAAAGAACCAGTATCTCGCCTCAGATGACATTAATACAGAATCACTGCCAATGTCCAACTGCAACCAGTCTCATCAGAAAGACGTATTTTGTGCTCAAATTCAACATGCAATTTGTTTTCTTTCTGTAATTCAATCTGCATTCAAAATTCCAACATCGTTGAATACATATAATTTTAATAGAATGCTAGGTTATTTCAATAATGTCGAAATTAGGTTTTGTATGACTATGCTTCCCTCCTTCCTTCCCCCCACATTCTATTCTCAACCATTTTAGAAGCCATGTATGTCCATGTCAGGGTTCCCTCATCTTCCTCTGACCAGGTTGACTCTACCCTCCTTCCTCCTCCGCAGTGTCACTCACCCATCCTCCTTCCATGCAGCATGCTCTGTGCAGCTCCATTTGCTTCCTTCCCCCCCAACTCCTCATGGATTCTACTGTTCTCATTTTTTTTTCTTTTCCTTCTATCCAATAATCCTCCAAAACTATTCTATGAGCATTAGGAGCTCACAAGGGTGAAAGGGAATCACCTAGTACTTGATTTCTAAGTAACTGTAATAATGACTGACACTGACATTACTGCTGAACAGTTACAGGAATTACCTGTGTTCTTCATCTACCATTCCCAGTTTTCCAATGATCACAAAAATCAATGAAGTATGAATGCTGTATGGATATAAAGTTTTCCCTGCTTTTTTGTTAAATAATCCTTTGTAACATTCACTGTGAATCAACCAGAGAAATTCTACCAAGTTGAAGGCTTACAACTCATTCCTTGCAACCTGAGAGTCGCCACCAAGTTGAATTTTGCAAGCTTAACCAATAAAGAAACAAAATCCAAGACCTATTATCTTTTTAATATGCCGATTTCTCTTATTTTTTTTTAACATGCCATGCCTTATACATGAGTGATAAGCAAACCTTGTCCTTCCTGGTAATTTACAAACAAGTTTATACTTAGGAGTACCAATACGTAAGCTGTTCAAAAAAAAATTTTTCTTTTAAACTATTGCCCCAATAACTCTGTTTTTGCAGCTTTCATGAAAGTAAATCTTGCTTACAGCTGTGGTTTTCCATTATTCTAGGAAAAAAGAGTCACACAGATTATTTTACAAGCCAATATGATACGTAACTCTCACCAGAAAATAAATGCAAATTTGGAAGTAAGGAAAAAATACCCCAAATCTATACATAAAGCTAAAAACATAAGGAAAAAAAGCTAATATACAGCCCCCCTATATACTTTTAAAACAAGATTATTCTGCTCACATAAGCACCATTGTTAAAAACTTCTCTTTATAAAACATTACCTAGTGAATAAGAAATTAAAACAAGATCATCTACAGCATCAAAAGTAGCTTAAAAAACATGCTTAGAAATGTTTGTGAATGACACTGGGATTTCCCCTAGAGTTGAATAAAAATTTCAAATGCTCTTTTCCCAGCTAAGCACAACCCTGCTCAAATATTTCAGGAAGAGGTTCTACATATATTTGTTTTCTAACCCTTTTAAAGTTCTGAATATCAAAGTAACATTTAAATTTATCAATAAAGTACTACCTGCATCTAACGTTTCATACTTACATCATCCAAAGCTTTAGACTGTGCATAGTTAAAATATGGGAACTCCTTAAAAATACTTCTAAATTGGGTTGCTTGACAACATTAAGGAACCGAAAACAATTGAGTGAAAATTATAAAATCTGAGAACTGTAAATGCATCTCTTTCTTGTAATTTAAATGCAAACTTAAAACATGCAACAATCTTTAACTGATACAGACTTGTAAAAAGTTATCAAAAAGTAACCTATTAAATGATTTAATAGTTTTATTTAGATTCTTGGTGTGCTATATGTTCCACTTTACCAAAAAAATCACTACCTATTTAAGAAGTCTCAGGATTATACCAATAATCAAGAACCTCTTCCTTGCCATAGGGATCATGGACTGGCATGCAAATATGGAATGTGAAACCAAAAGGGACAAAAGCTTTATTCCACACTGCAAACCAGATAGACACAAGCAGAGCACAGCTGTTAGCATATCTAGAGTGTCAATGGTCACACTGTATTTGTAACATAACACAAATTAATTAGCATAATATTGTATATCCAGTCATAACAGTAGCAAAGAAATTGACCTACAATCTCTTAGTGCTGGCAGTAGTTTTAAAGATAATTTCAATAGCTAACATTGCGTACTATGCAGACAACACCACTTCTTCTAAAATGTAAGTAAGAGGAAAAAGAGTATTGTTACAGGGAGTTGATCCTTGTCTTGACTTGCATTGAAGTCATTTCACATTTAAAAAATAAACAGGTTTAAGGATAAAATTTCAATCTTTGAAATAAGAATCAATTTGCTGAGCAGTGAATGATCTATAAATTGTCTTATTTTCATTCTAGCTTTGGAAGTCCAAAGGGTAAACACCTATCTACCATTTGATTCCCAGCATTACATTACAAATCAAAACTATTAAAGTATAATGCATGAGTTCCTATGGCTACAAATTAAACACTATAATTTTGTAAGTGTAAAAGCATTGTAGTAAAATTAGTAAATCAGATATTGCAAATACAAGGATACGTATTTCTGTAACCGCCCTCAAAATTTCCAATTTTCTTCCTGTAGTTCCTAAAGAAATAAAACCAGTAAATTTACAAGACCAAATTTGTTTTCAACAAATAACCATGAAAAATATCTTCCTGACCTCAAGCTATGTGCTCTGTGAGGAGCTGCAAGGCTACAACAGGGTCCAGGTGATACAGAAGGAGCTGACAGGATAGCACAGTGAGGTCACAAGCTCATCATTTTAAAGGACCATCGTGGCAGCCTTTTGCTGAACTCATTCCAGTCTAAGGATGCCTTGCCTGTACCAGAGGCTCAGAACTTGATGCAGTATCTAGAAGTGGTCTTGAAAGTACCACGAAGAAAGAGAGAAACACCTCCCTCAACCTCCTGGCTTTGCTCCTGTTAAAGCCCAAGATACTGTCAATCTTTGATATTGCTGAGGCACACTGCTTGCTCACATTCAGCGCCGGCTGTTCGCCAGACCCAAGGCACTTCTCCACAGAGCTGCCTCCAGTCAGTCCACCCCAAAGGAACCCCAGGGGTTCTCCTTCCCTGGGGCAGGACTTTGCATTTGTTCCTGCTGAACTTCATGAGATCCCTGACAGCCCTCTCCTCCAGGACAGATCTCTTCAGTACTCCACTTGTGACAGGCATGTGGGCAGAGTGTGACCCACTAACCATCACCCTCTGAGTCTGACCATCCAACCATTTTTTTTTTTTTTACCCATGTAGTTGTCTATCCATTTGTAATGTCCTAACTTGAATACAAAAATGTTGTGGAAGACAGTGTTTCTCAACCATTCTATAGATTAAAAACTATTAAAAAAATAACTCTAAACCAAGTATTTTATCCTTACCACTTTCCCCCATTTTACAGATTTTTTCCTATTTAAAATCTGTTTCTACAAAGATACAAGTGACCCACATCACAAACATTCCACTTTCTCATTTCAAATGCAGATGAAACTATTTATCACATGAAGGGACAAGGCTGCTCTTTTTCAAACTGTTTAGGGGACTGATTTGAAATGACTTTTTCAAAAAGGCTTACATGACTTGACACTTTTGAAAATGTGATTATCCTTCATAAATAGTTTACCCAGCTCATATTAAACAACAACGCAATTAAGTTCCATAGAATTGCAGTATGTTCTATTGAGTTTAGCCAATTATATCACCTTGAGCTGGTGGGAAAATGTTATTTACTCTACTCAGAACATGGATATCCATTATTATTACATACCAAAGACAGACAGTGGACTATTTTTCTTGAAAAAGAGTAATAATAATTACCTGTCATATCCAGAATCTCTGAAGCATTGGAAAATGATTTAATTCCATTTTTAGATTCAATGTCCCCATCATTTAATCTATGCAGAGTGAAATTTGAGTCTTTAGTTATCAGAGTATGATGATCATTTCTCCATAAACCTTCTTTTCTCATTTCTTTCATGTTTTCTCTTGTATTTAAGTAAGTATCAATTTCTTTCACATCCACACAACTATCTTTAAATTCTGTATTTTTGTATGTATAACCAGACGTTTTAAATAAGCTGCAAAATATCCAGGATTTTAATTAGTTTGTTGTAATGTTACACAGTTTCTCTAATATTTTAAAAATATGTATGCTTGTATTAGAAGCAGAACTAGTAAGATACAACAAGAAAAGTTTTTATCTAACTTTATTTGATCTGACACTCTTCTACCTGAAGAATACTCTTTTCAAGGTAAATTTTAATCTTACTTTAATTCCAGAAAGAACCTGAAAGAATAAACTGCCTGTCCAGATGGGCTCTGAAACCCAATAGCAGATTAACTGTCAGTCTCTGCATAATTAAAACCAGACATATACAGGTTCTGAGGAATGAGAAGAGCTAGGCATAGGAGTTTATCTGTAAAGCCTCTCCTCCCAGGCAGCACTAAAATCATGTTGAGGACTGCTCAAGGTATTCCTGGCTGGCTGACCTCTGCTCTGAAAAGCAAGTCATTTTAGTCTTCTTGCTCATTACCATGTGGATAAAGAAATAAAAATAGCATTTTGAAAAACTTCTTTTATCTAACAATTTCTTTAAAATTAAACCTACATACCTCATCCTTACTTTTCTCATAAAAGAGGCTGAGGTCAGGACACATTTATTTACACTACTACATATTGCCAAAAGGAAGCATCCTTTTTCCTTATACTAAAAAGAATTAGTGTTTGGAGCCCTGTTAAAGTACCTTCAATTGAAGGATCCAAAACTCTGTATTTAACAAATGTATCTAAAAGAATAATATGATCCTGACGGTTGATAAATTATCAGAATTGACTAGACATGTACCTTTTTCTTAATGTTGAACAGACACTGTCATCATCACTGTTTTCTGGAAAATTGCTTAATATGTTATTTTGTGAAAAAATTGTACCAGGTTGCTTAGAAACCTGTGTTCCTGTTTTAGATTTATCTTGGTCAGAAGAGAGAAACAATGAAACCATTTTCAGATTTTCATGCTGAAAACTAATTTTCTGTCTTTCTCCTACACTTAGTTGGAGAACTTCTTTTTCAGAGGCTATGTCAAAATTAACAGGTGCTGCTGATTTATCATTTATTTCCTCAGCTTTAGTCTTATATTGTTGTATAAACTGCTGGTGTTTTCTCCCTCCTACAAAAACAATAAACTATTATTTGTATTAATATTCATATTCCTATTAATAGCCATTTAATCAAATAACTTCCACAGAGAATAAGCCAAATTCACATATATTATATGAACTGATATTTCTATCTTATTGCAAGAGCTTTAGTGCATATTTTACGACTCATGCTGATGAACACAATGCATTGGTTGTCAATTAAAAATTATAAAAACAGGGTCACATTCTATGCTTGCTATACAAAGTAATGGAGCAAAACTATTCCTCAGAACTACAAAGCCGTTTGTAAAATAGAAACTCTTTACCCTGTCCCAGAATAACAATGTTGGTTTTTTTTTTTAAAAAAATGACACGACTAAGCTTGCAGTTCCTACTACAAAGAGCTGTGAGATAAACCCTGAAATCTCAACAGACAAAAACTGTAATGAAGTCCATGACGGGCTGGGTTCATAGTCACCTTGGTTAATTTTCACATTTTGCAGGGTTAGTTCTCAGTAGGATCAGTGTCCTGATCTGGCTGACCATATAAATATTGCTGTCAGCAAAAGGAAGGTAAGAGCAGAAAAAAGCAACTGAATGCAACAAGATTACAGAACAGCTCTATTCCACAGCCTATTAATTTCAGTGTTATCCATCTAGAAACTGAAAATTACAATGGCCTGTTTGTGACATAACCCCAACAATTCTAATTCCACAAACACCAGAAAGCTTATTTGCATGAGTAGCTCTTAATGGAATTGCTCTTGCATAAATTAGAAAAAAACCCTTCTGTCTTAACAATGTAATTCCTAAATAGAGAATACAAAAAATCAGCACAACAGCTAGGAAATGCAGAAATCTAGTTGACAAAGATAAACCAACCAAATTCTTTAAATTAAATTTCCTTAAGGTGATCCTGAACATCTAGATGGAAGGAATACACGACCTAGCAGCAATCAATGTTCAGATTAAAATTTGGCCTCCTGAACGGCAATTTGAAAAAAGCCCCAAAAGGGAAAAACAAAGTTAGGTTCATACAAACTCTCTGCTCCTTGGGTGGGAGACAGGTCATCAGATCCATGTGTTGCATTATGCTCTTACAGTTGCTTCCTGCTGTGTTATGATGCTTCATGGAACAATGTGGGGCAGCTGAAATTTTGATCATACATATTACCTTCCCACTTTGCACAGTAAACATGTAGCCTGTATATTTCCAAAGGGGACTGCTAATACTCTAAAGATACACAAGACCATTGCTTTCAACTAAAATACATTCTTTGTCTATATTTGCATACCTAAAATATTTTGTATTTCACAGCACTAAAAGAGGAAGGAAGAATTAACCATCAAGCTAATTATTTGTTAAGCCATTCAGAATGAACGGCAAATATGATGGTTTAGTGGGCCTTGGCAGTGTTAGGTTTCCGGTTGGACTCTATCATCTTAAACACCCTTTCCAACCTAAATGATTCTATTCTACAATATTTTACCCATGTAAGTGTTGTCTGTGGTTTTTTCCAATTCCCTCTGTAACTCCTCTGCAGTTGGAATTTCAGCAATAGCTGGAGCAGGTGCAATACACCAAATCTTAGGCTCTTCATTTTCTAGATACCTATTTTTAACAAACAAGTATAAGGTAAAAGCATTCTGTAAGCACCCTTCACAACATCTAGCTCAAAATCACTAATCATAAATAATTTACTGTTTCTGGAAGAACTTTTCAAAGTGAGTCATGAACCTGGAACTTTCTAGCCCATTTTTATTCTTAAACAGAAAAAGGAGTTAAAAAAAAATTTGGCTGTAAAATGTTGCAGAGTGTGAAAAAACTTGGAAAACAATTATATATATTTAACAATAAAGATTTACCTTTGTCTTGTATCTGGGCCTTCATAAAATAAATCATCCAATGAAAAGACCGTATCTGTACAGTTGAACATTTTTAAATCAAATGTGAAGTCTCTTCATCTGCAAAAGGCAGAACAAGGAACTGTGGAACCAAAATTATTAGAATTGAACATGTATAAGCAATAGAAAGTTTATTAGTTACAGGTATCAATGCTTCCTATATTTTTTTTTATTTCAGACCTCTTGCCTGCATCTCTAAATTCTTCTTCAAAAAGAGAATCTCTCTCATGATAAACCATGGTTCCTATTATTTCTGACCAAAAAATCCTGTAGGACAGCACTTTAAATAATCTTTACATCACCTTGACATGTCAGAAGAGAAAAAGTGGGTAAGAGTGAAGAACCAGATAAAGTTTCTGTTAAAATATTTAATTTCTAAGAATAATGCGAAGATTCTTTTATACAACTGCAGGCAATCTATTTTCTCAGATTGCTTCTGTTCTGATGGAAAAATACAATCTGTCTTATGATCAAATTCTGTCAACTTTTACAAAATAGAATTATTTTATTATCTAACAATCCACAGTAATTATGTTGATTTACAAGCAGATCAGATTTTTTTTTTTTTTTTTAATCTACATGCAAATTGCTTACCTGGACAACTGGAATATGGGCCCAACTCCTTAACGTTCTTACAAGTTTGTTCTGAAACATCAGGACCAGAGGTTATAAATTACTTATCATATACCCCAGTTTTAAAAATACACCATTTCAAATGTTTTTCATTTAGCACCAACTCTAGGCATTAGACACGTTCTCTTTATGTGCTTGTGTACAGAAGTTTCACAGCTCTTACTTAAGGACAACTTTGAAAAGCAAAGATCTCACTAAAAGAGTACCACCGAAAGCATTTTATGAGTCCTAAATCTTAGGTTCACCGAAACAAATGGTAAAATACCAAATCAACTTCAACAGTTTATAAAACTCAATAAAGGCCAAATCTGGTGATAAAATAACAAATCAAAGCTACCTTCTTTCCCTACAGAGATAAACCAAAGGTGACACTTCTTTTGTACTCCAGCATCTCATTAGTAACATATGAAAAAAAATCTTTCAGAATGCTTTGCAAATAGGATTCAGGTTTACTTAATTACTGTATACTGTCAGCTGTGAATCAAATATTTGAAAAATATTTTTCTTCCACAGAAGCTGTAAAACTTCAAATATTCCAGAGAAATGTTTCAAATTTAAAACAGAAAACATTTCACAATACCGGCAGAATAGAGAGCATATAATCAAAACTGTCTGAGAACACAGTGAAGATGGGGTTTAGAACTTCAAACAAGAAATCTGTCAATGTTCCTTTTACACTCCTTTTCAGAGTAAATCTGCAACACCATTTCTGCTACTTCTCCACTGCCAGGTTTTGCTACTTTTTCCTTCACACTAATAAATCTATCAAAGCTGATTAATTTTGCCACTATGCTTTAGCATGCTTTTAATATCAGTAATGTAAACCAGGAGTTTTCAGGCTTGGGTATCAGTAGTGGCAGCAGAAAGCATCTGTCAGTAGTACTATCAAGTTGTTGCTGTTCAAATAGTAATTATCTGTGTTAAGTGCTTATACAACTGAATAACCACCACTCCATCAGCTCCAAGGAGCTGCAAAGACTGCACACCAGCATGATATGGTTTTCATACCTCAGGTGGGGAATGATCAATCAATGATTACACAACTCATATTTAAATAATTCGGATTTATGATTCCTGCCCTTGAGCAGTCTTTGTTATACACAATATTTAATCTCTCAGGCCCTTCAGGCCTCTGCTCTCTATATGTCATTTATACTTTGACTGGCTCCACTAATTACAATTGCTTGATAATGTAAATAAAAATGGTAAGAGATGTCATGGTCATTCTGAGACAGGAAAACACTAGCACGACACTCCTTTACACAGTTTTGCATTCATCCACCTGCTCGCTGGCTGTCAGCTGTGACATCCACCTCAAAACACCCAGCCAAAAGCAAAAAGAAAAAAGGGCAAAACATATATCCAAGATGGACAGGTATCAAAGTATCTTTTCTGTACTCTCAATGCTGTTTTGATAGCACAGGTAAAATGCATATTCAAGATGGTAGAGTAAGGGAGATGAGTAGATGTTTGCAGGAACAGCACAGATCACTGATTCACACAGAGATCTTTGCCAAATCCTGTAAGCAAAGACCTCTCATGTATCTAATAAACCAATAGTCCTCTCATGTATCTACTTTAAGAAACAACTTACTACAAACACTTCAGGCCACAAGGGGGTTTGCTTAGTTTTGAAGCCCCTTTGATTTTCACTTCTCTCCCAACAACAGATCCTCTCCTCAGACCTATTTCACCCGAATGCTCTTTCCAGGAGACCCAACGCGAAGGTCACAACTTTTCAGTGGTGCCGACCCAAACAAACTGCAGCTGCTCGCTCTCAGCTGTGGACCAGGTGCCTTGTAAGAGGCAGAGAACATCCTCACCTCACAGCGTTGCTTCCCCGTTCCTGCAACCCCTAGGCACGCCCTCACAGTCAGGCTCCCTCTCCCGCCCGCCTCCCTCAACCGAGGAAGGAGAACCTGACACAGTCGCTGCCACCTCACCAGCAGCGCCTCCCGCCACCACCGCGCAAAATGGCGGCGACCGAGGGCCAAGGCGATGCCACAGCGGCCCGGCAGCGCCGCCCGACCAATGCCACTCAGCCGGTCCGGCCCAGCGAGCGGGAAGCGCCCATTGCCACCCGGCCTTTTCCTAGCACCGCCCCAAGGGAGGGCCGCCCTCCGGAGTTGGCGAGTGCCGGGGCATTCTGCTTCTCTCTTGCGGCTGCACGAAATGGAGGACGCCGGGCCCGCTCACCCATGGCTGCTTTTCCTCTGAGGCGCGGACCGGCCGGCCGTAACACCTGACTAAAACGCATACATTCACAAATCCTGAAACCAGTGGGGAAGAAAGGGGCTAAATTCTCCTTAAAACGGTAGAAAAAGGAATGTGGAGGGACTCCCCTGGTGCTGGATTTAGGGCTTGTCCAAACATGGATTTATTGGGAACTACTCCCTTTGTTGAAAAGTCCTTACTTTTACCCTAGTATAAACCAAAAGAGGTGGCAGATTCCTGCACCTTATTGGCTCTTAAGGATTCCAACAGGAAGAAACAAATACACTGAAAATATGCATCCTTAAAATATGTTCTAGTGAATTTCTAAAATTTTCTTCCCTTGCTGCTGAACTTGAGCAACAAAGCAGCCTCAAACAAGTTACTTGAATTGAAACAATATAGTGTGAAGTATTTGTAAAATGCAGGAGTACATTGCTTTCCACCCCCACGCCCCCCCCCCTGAAATACTACAATTTACCATTCTGGACTTACCATAGCCTTTGAACTAGTAAATTTAAAGTAAATTGCAGAACTGTCTCAAAGACTAAATTTTAAGCTGGTTCAAAGCTTCATGCCATTCAACAAATACTATAGAGGCAGCCACTGTAAATATGTATTTCCTCATACATAAATAGATGAAAAGGAGACATAAGATTTTCTCAAATATTGATTGATTTTAACATAAATAATTTTTATTAATCAACTTTTTGGTTTTCTTTCTTGAAAATATTAATTTTTAACTTTCCATTTCAAATTCTTAGACATTGTATGTTTGCATAATGTAAGTGTATTCTCTCAGACTGTGCAAGCCCAGGTCAATTAAAAACATGCAATGAAGGTTATGCTTATTTTTACAATCCTGTGTATATGAAGTCTTTCCTTTATTATTCTTACCTTAAAAAGACTCACATCAGAACTGTGTCATATTACAATGTTCCAAAATTTGCACCACATGTTTGGATGCTTTAATCCACCTCACCATCTAATTACTGGGCAGACAGCCAAGGGAAAGAAGCACTTCATTCCTACTTCCAACATGACAGGATCTTGGCCAGCACAGAATAAAAGATTCTATGATAAAGGGCTTAGAATACAATCAGGATTGCTAATGAACCCATTGTCTGAAATTAAATTCTGAAGCCACCAATATTATTCGGTAATTTGAATAAACATGGAGAAATGTTTGTGCTTATAAGCATACAATAAGCATTCATTTTGTGCTTATAAATTCTGAAACCAGAAAGTATTTTTACTTCTTAATATTAGAGAATGCCTTCTTCGATTCTGGCCTCAGGCAAGTTTCCATCTTAGCTCACAACATCTGCTTTTAGCTGACCAGACTTTAAAGTTTAAAGCCATAATACAAACAGTTCATTTTTTAAAGCTATTTTTTCTTCGATTCCCTTCCCTAGGTGACATGTCCCTCAACACACACACAAATCACATAAAATATATAGCAAAGCAGTCTCTCAACTGCTCTGAGACAGTTTAATTTTTTATTTTCCCCAAGCCTAACATCTGATCTGCCATATGGTTTGAGTCTTTTCAGCTCATGGAGATCACATACTAACTCATAAACCTGCATGTTCTGGAGCAATGCAACTAGAAAAATCACAACCACCAGACATTGGTCAGTGATCCATATGATAACAGAATAATACTCACATTTACTAAATGCAAAGCTGTTAGAAGATTCCATTTTCTCCAGAATTTACAAATTGAACAAATCAGCTACAAACAAATTAAATGCAGAAAAGTATCAAGACATAAGTAGGCTGACAATAGTTGGTCCCTTGTCTCAGTTTCCTTTGCTTGGCTTTATCCACAGTTTCAGAAACATGACAAAATCATTGGTCTCTAAAAAAATGCCCTACCTCGTAACATAAATCACTATGAAATATTAGAAGGTGTTAGAGACAGCCCCTGAACTATATGGTTCTTACTACATGCTTGAGATGGTTTCAATGATTCATTTATTAAAGAAATTACAAGATTCAAGCATTAAAAAAAAAAAAAAAAAATTGCAGCTGTAACCTTCTTACAGTCAAAATTAGGAAATAAAAATAAAACCAAAATTGCTTAGATGAGGAAAAGAGAAGTTTCTTCCATTTTATCATGTTAGCTAACACAAACAGGGGCCTGATGTTACACCACTCTTGCAAAAACTTAAAACAGGTGAATAACTTGATTCGTGGCAGCTGAAATTACTCATGTGCATAAGCGTTTGTAAGATTGGGTCTTAAGAAAGCTAAATGCAGCTCCTGCTGGGACCTGGCTATACCACTCTGCATGTCCGCCGGAGGTGATCTCCCAGGCCTGATACAAGGCACTGCTCCCCAGGGCAGCAGCAAGCAGCCTGCTCTTGCTGCGCCCCTAAAATATGCTTCCCCAGGAAGTTCAGCTCTTGAACTTTGATTTTTATGTGTCTGAAGTAAAATATTTTTAACGTGCTTCGTCTTTTTTTTTTTTCCCAGGGTGAGGTGGGAAAAGTGTTCTTTTCTGTACTTTTTAAACTTTGTTTCCTTTTTCAGTTTCTTACCCATACATTTTTTCTTTTAAGAGATGAACTCCTCCCACTGAAACCCTCAAGCATAGACTAACCACAAAGGACTCTTTTTATTATGTATAGTATTAGGATCATACTTCAAACTAAGAAAACAAGCACATTTCACATTCACAACTCCACCCTGAACAAACCTCATCATGTACAAGCACATTACTTTATGTCATATGCTATTTAGATACATTAGCAATTTTGCACATAGAGAATTGAGTATAGATTTTATAGTTAACACAGCTGATAATTTTTAGTTTTTGTATATTTAGATCATAAGCTGATTTCATAAAATGAGATATATGCAGAAAGATAGAAAATGAAATTAATGCTGTGGTGATATTTATTCCTTTGGAGTATACCTCCTAGGAGGCAAGTCATTGCTGCTTCCCTTAAAAGTAAAACATAAAGAATGTCCCATTGATACGGTGTCCATGGACTCTGCTTTTGAATAAATAACAAATCAATCTGAAAGTTGTATCTACAACTACTGTTTTGGAAAATAACTAACTCTGCTATTTTCATCTTGTCAGTTCTAACAATGTATTTTAAAGGGAGGAAGGGAATGGATGTTTTTTAAGATAGAGCTATTTTATTCAAGTCAGATCACAACAGAAGTATAAGGTACAACTAAATGCTCTTTTTTTTTTGCTCTAAATTATGTATCAGTGATATTTACTACTATACATCAGCTAACATCTGGATTCCAGATCCTCTAAGAGTTCATTTACTTTGACAAGATTTCCTGTCAGCATAATTTATTGCTTTAGATTAGAAACTATAATATTGTCATTGAGAAAAAATATTAATAAAACCCTGGAAATTAATACATTCGTAGATTTCTTCTTTCTATTAGATAGGAGTACTGTAAATATCTATAGATTTTTCCTAGAATCATCTTCTCATTTGTAAGAAATATAAACAGTTCTAATAAAAATTAATGTTATGAGTTAACCCAGTTCTGTGGTGAGCTTTGTGCAGGAACTGGGAACTTAAGTGATAATGTTTTCTTGTTGCAGTGTGAGCCTATTTATCTTTTTATCAAACTAGTTCCTTGAAGAAAATAAAGTCTTTTTCTGCCTGTGTTTTGAAGTAATATGCACTATTAATTTAGTGTAGTTTTGGCAATTTAAAAATAATTTACTCATAGTAGTCTTCATTTATCATTCTGAATACATATATGTCCAAAATGTTAATCTTCCAAACCCTCAGTTCTACAAATATTCCTCAGTAATACTTGCAGACCAGTTGACTTAGGATTGTAAGTGAAAGCTTGATAACTTGCTGCTGCTCATTAAACCATCAAGAAAATAGAAAATGGAAATAAAAGGTCCATAAAATAAGTCAGGATATGTAATTCTCAGGAAAAAGGATGTTTCTTATCTTGGAAAAGCTGCTTATACAGAAATCTTAATATAACTGAGGTATTTGTCCACACTCAAGGGACAGAAGAAAATTTGTTAGTTTTGAAAATATGAGTCTGATAAAAGATTAATTTTTAGAATATATTTTGTTTTACACATACTATTCTCATTCACCAAGAGAGTTTGTCTGTTGAAATGTGTCCCCAAACACCAACAAAATGCTTTTTATTTTGGCAGACAATGGCTTGAGGAACAAACAAGAGGCATGGAGAGCTTGATTCTTTTTGTGACACTATGGGCACTTAACCTCTATATATCTGATTCTTCCTCAGGAGAATTTATTTTCTTGGTTTTGTGTCCACTCCATTTTCTTTAGGAAAAAAAAAGGAGCAAATATTTCAGCTACTGCTCTCTTTGAAATGTTCATCCAAAGATTTCTAGAAAAGTTCATCTTACTTCCTTCTCTGCTCCCATCCTAATTACTAAACTTACGTCAGTTATGGTGGAATAAAGAAACTCAGCAAAATAAACCATGTTTAAAGAAGCAGTGTGATCCACATGCGAGGTGAATGGGGTTCACCCAATATGACTAGTGACTTGATATAGTCAGGGCTAAGACACATGTATTCTAGAGATAATTCTGATAATTTTAAACTGTCTTTTCTAGGATGACAGCCTGCTTACTCAGTTGTTTCTATAATCTTCTGTACTGTAGCTATGCTGTGCATTTTAAGTTAAACAGCAACAATATGCCAATTAAATTTCTGCAGACTATATGATCTGAACGCCCTGCAGATCCTTAGCTTTTTCAAAGTAGGTCCATGTATACAGATTTTGTTTGATCTCTGGTTCATGTCAACCTGGTTTTGAAACATACCATAACTAGAAGATATTTCTTTATGATATGTTAGTTATCAGGAATGTGATCTAAACTGATAGAGGGGAAAAGAGTCCAAGCAGTGATCTTTCTTAGAAAATAAGTTTATTCTCCTTGCATTAAAGGCATACATTCCTCAAAGTTTGTATTTTCTCCCATATTTATCTATTATAACTTTTATGATCATAAAGAACTTTGCCTTGAACCTTATGATTTTAAATTGAATAATTTGATTCTTGATAATATATTAGTATTTACTGATTGCCTCATAAAAGGGTTAAGTTCAAAACTGTGGCTCTGGTACACAGCTAACAAAGTATGGTTTAGTCCTGAGTAGAGCTTTAGGATATTACTGCAGTGCAAGTAATACACAGTAGGAAGTGCAGTAGAATGTACCCTTGCAGATGATGTAAGGGACATAAGCCAACCCTCCTGACTCTATATCAGATACCAGGAAAATGTTTGTACTTTATAGCCCTTGGACTATATTGATTTAGGAACTTTACATGATGTGGGCCTTCGAAAGGTGTGAGGAAACTGTACTGTTGTATATGCAACACAATGTTGACATTATAGTACACACAATAATGATACAAGTATCTAATATCAAAGTATTATGTTGAGTACTTCATCATATGTTTTGGGTTCACGGACCTTCATGTACAGAGCTATGCAATTCTATTGTACTAGTCTTAAAAGCATTTGAACAAAATATTTTTCCAATTTAACTAAATTTGTACCTCTAAACTTCAGCAATGTTGTATTTTTGGACTGAAAAATCATTGAGAAACAAGTATAATTCAAAACTTGAAAACAGTGAGTGTCTTACATTCTGCAATGCAGCAGCTTGTACGGATGTTCAGCTTTCAGTTGGGACACTTGGGGCAATTGTACCCGTTCCCAACATGTTATCTTCTGAAAACAAAAGCCAAAACAGAAAATGACATGAGAAGCCACAAAATAGAAAGCCTGAGTACACTCACAGTTAAGAAATTGTCCATCACCAGATGGGTTTGTTCCACAGCAAACTGTGGACTCCACATTGCAGAGCACGTCAGGAATAGGCATTGAATTAGGTTGAACATGTTCTGGGAAACTTCCAAACTAAGAAGTAAAGGCAATGACTGAAGCTTGGGGACTTCTCACCATCACAGAAACATTGGAGTTCAAAATCCCACTGCACTTTGGCACAGAATGCTGAAGATGGTTTACACAGACTCAACTTATCCTCAGACTAGCACAACTGCTTTGGTGACAGTGGAGAACCTGAGATATCAACATGTTGTAAAGAAAAAGAAAACCTTCTGTCACATGGAATTCTTGATAAAAATGGAAGAAGCAGTTGAAAAATGCAGTATGTTGACACACTACCATAAGAAACAGAGTTAGATATGAAACACTTTTATAACAAGCTGACTACTGACAATGATACAGAAAGTAGGTGACAGCATTTCAAAGTCAAGACATTCTACATACTTGTTGATGTGTTTACAACACAGATGAAAGAACAGTTTCAGGATTTCACAGAGAAATGCAGGCTGACACATTGACATTGATAAAGTTTTTAAAACATCTTTTCATATAAAGCCATGAAGAAAACTTTGCAATTTGCATATTTAGTCCAGCTACTCACTAAACAGCCCTTTCATGTATTAATTCAGACCATATGGACTTCCTGGTTAATTTTTTGTAAGATATTCATAAGAGGATATATATATTTAAGTAAATAAAGAAAAGATGGAATGGTCAGTGGATTAAGGCTGTATCTGCAGAAGAACTCAGGATGCTGTAATGCTCCAACAGTTTTGTGTGTCTTCTGCTGGAATGTAGTATGTTTTCTACTGGAATGTCCTGTGGAAAATTGAAATTCTTGGCTTCCTGTGTAATTCTGGGGAATAGTTGGGAACTTACAGAATCTAGCAAGTCACTACAAAGTATGATAGGGTTCTCCCTTCCCATTTTTCCAAACAGCATTATAGTTACAGCACTCATTCAAGATCCCTTCCCTTTTTATAAAGTGATTTCAATCCACATCTCCCACCTTCTGAGCAAAAACTCCAGTTAGTCAATTATTGGGTTTTGTGGACCAGGCCTGTCAGCTCTTTCATGGTAAAACCATTCGAAATGCTATGGTATAATTAAACCTTACGCAGAAAGAGTGCTTATGTGCCAACACGACTATGGCTAAGGAAAATCACCTGAGAGTTGGGAGACACCCCCCACCCCCACCCCCCCCAAATCACTGCATTCCCCTGGGCTACAAGAGAATACAGTCATGTGCACTGTTGTCCAAATATTTGATTCATGCAAAGGAACCCAAACAAATACCCATTATAAGCAAACAAAGTATTTCTAGTGACATCAGTGATGTTTGGATCACATTTGCAACAGAGCCAACAGGTCAAATCAATATTTAGAAATGGAAAATGTAATTTGTTCACATTCTAATAATGATGAATTGCAGGACTGGATTTTATGTAACTTTTAAAACTGTTTAATTCAGTATGAAAGAAACAAAAGAGTAAAGACTTGTACCTTAACAGAATGCTTTTGCAAATCATACATACTTAGAAAAAATTAATAAGATCAGCTTAACTGTTGCTACAGCATTGCTAAATATTAGAAAGTGTGGGTTTCAAGTGTTTATTAGCATTCATTACTTCTTCATACTCATTTAAGCACCTTATTTTCCTGTAAAAGAAGCTAGAATTGCAACATCTAGGCAAATTACTTTAACATTTGGTCTTCAGAAGCTTCTAAAGCTACAGAATACCCAGTGTGAACTACAGAATACCCAGTGTGAAAAAAAAAATATATTTATTTTTGAAAAAGTGGTGTTATTTTGTTTCTTGAGGAGTTGCCATTAGATCTCTTTATGCATGTATTTTTAGCTAATTAAAATACTACCTGAATATCAGGAGAATGTTATCTCTCCTGTTACCTTGTTTTAGCTCTTGTTCTTGTCTTGGCTTTAGCCCCTACAGACCCAGAGTTGTAAGAAGAGGGAGTCCAAAAGAATCTCCAACATGAGCTCCTGCATGTAAAAAGCCATTAAATGTCACCAAGTCACCCCTTTTTTGAGATCTGTAACTTTTCCTTTTGTCTCGACTGGTTTTTGTTTTCTTCAAAGTGTGACCTTTGGCCTGTATTCACAGTCTGTGCATAGGCTTTGGAAGCAGAGGGATTTGAGGCAGAAGCATTTCCTTGGGCAATAGAAGTGGCAACAGCAGGAGTGCCAGAGAAAACAAAGTGTTAGGATAAATCTCTTAAAAAAAAAAAAAAAAAAAAATCACAGTGCCAAGCTATTCCTCCCAGCTACTACCTATGTATAGGGAAGAATCTTTACCGTCAGTGCATGAGGTACAGAATATAGGTCTACAGAACTTTAGAATTCACTTAGATAAATTTACAGTATTCATTAGAAATAATAGTAATTTAAAAAATGGAGCGTGAACAAGAGAAAAGCACCAAAATGTTAAGACATAAGCCCAGTGTTCATAGAGTTTTAGAGCACATATTTATCACATTGCCAGTCAGCACACTGCAGCTGGCAGCTCTGCTACGTGGGTTTAACCACTGCTTTCCAGACACCAAAGGAGAGCAGACACAAGGCAGTTCTTGTGATGGGGCTGAGATCACCACAATAATAACCATGCAATGAAACAGTGGACATCAGGTCAGTGGAGGAGATTTACTCAGCAAAAGGAAAAAAAAAAAAAAAAAAAAAAAAAAAGAAGGAAGAAGCATAGGGAAGGGCTCTGTGAGTGGCTGAGACTCCTTGGAAGGGGCATCTGGATCCTGACTTCCTAACTTTGATAACCACATGCCTTAGATCCCAAAGATCTGGTCTCATTTATTCACAGATATTTCATGTTTCAAAAGTAAATTCCTATTTCCCCAAATGCATTCTAAGTTTTTAAAACGGGGCCATTACTACTGCTTCTTGTCATCTGTTTCACAAAGACTAAAGGGAATGCACAGTGATCTTTCAGGAGAGACTTTCTGCTTTGTAATTAGCTCATGGGGTGTGTGTTGTACGTATTTCAAGGGTTGAAAATACAGCTTGGGTGTCACCTGGTCCTTCCTCCTGACACTGAGAGCATGAAACATGCCTCCAGCACTAAATACAGACCAACATACATTGGGAACCGAGAAATATAGTCACACACTTGTACATATAGGTCTAAGAGCAAAAACTAATTTACAGCAGTTATCTTAGAGACCAAGAGAGCAGCAAAACTCCCCCTTTGAGACCACCACGGCTGCATGTCTAGCTTGAAATAATAGTTTTAACAATTATTCCTTTCCTGCCAATTAAAGAGTTGTATGATATGTCACTGAAGTACAAGGAATTTCAAGGACTCGGACTAATCTCCCAGTAAATGCTGCATCATTTCTCTGGTAGTAAAGTACAGCTTTATTTTTAACTTTTATAACTAGTGATTCCTTTGTTAATTTCTGGGAAGCCCATAGACATTATCATCACAGTTGGAGAAACATAAAATTCAAAGATATAGGATACTAGTTAGACAGTTTGGTTGACTTTCTCTTTACACTTGGACAATTTAGTACAAATTCAGGGTGATGCTTGAGAAACTTACCTTAACATTGTGCGTTGTTAAAACTGCCATCTTCTGTTGAAGACCGTTTTGGATGATGTGGTAGAATAGGACGGAATCAGGTCTATTCTCTAGACCAAGAGGACATCTTTCATTGTGTCGTGGTTTGAGCCTGGCTGGCAGCTAAATGCCACGCAGCCGCTCACCCACCCTCCCCCCACTTAGGAAGGGGGAGGGAATCGGAGGGGCAAAGGGAGACTCACGGGTGGAGATAAAAACAGTTTAATAACAGTAATAGAGTAATACAGTGACAGTATAAATGGGTAATGTACAATACAGGTGCTCACCACCCACCTGCTCCCAGCTGGCGATCCTGAACACAGAGACACCGTGGCCACACTCCTGGAAGTGGCAGCCCCTCCCGGCCCACTCCTGCCTTTATATAGTGAGCACAATGTCACATGACATGGACTATCGGCCAATCGGGGCCCAGCCCTCCAGCTGTGCTCCCCCCCGCCCCCGCACACAGGTGAGGGCACTCAGACCCGGGGAGCCCCCGGGGTCTCAGGGTGCTGCAGCTCCTCCCGCTGCCAGACCAACCAGGATACATTGCTGGCAAAGGACAGATAAATAAAAGCTAGTGACATACCATGATCACCATTAACATGACACAGAGATTAAACCAGTGGAATGAAGGAATAAGTAATGCATTTCCACCAGGACCTGGTTGAAGAAAAAAAAAAAAAAAAAGTTTTCATCCTGGTAAGATTCTTATAGGTCAGACTGCTTCCCTTTTAAAATACCCAATTGTTTTGAGACTTTCCATCAAAATTTTGGGCAAAGATGATATCTCCAAATGGAATATTCTGATTATGGTGAAATTTCAGCAGAACATGGCTTTACTTCAACAATGTTTCAGTAATTTTTCTACATTTTTCCTAGTTTTATTTTAGTAGTGGAAGTCTTAGCAATGTTATTAGCTACTGTCATAAAAACAAGCCATCTTTACCGTGAAGATTTATATAGCTAGGCAGCATGTATCTGAAGTCCCATATAGTTGACATTTGCATGAAATGGTATTTATGTTATATTTTGACATTATATGAAGAACTGTTGATTATATGTTTGGAAAGGATTAAAAAGCACTATCTTCATAATAAATTGTGGAGAGGGGCTTGCTAGTTATCAAATTTCTATTTAATATCCATGGTATTTCAAGTAACTGCTATTTTAAACACTAAAACCCACAAGAAATATCTACAGAAATATTGGAAAAGAGAGGAGAAAACCTGATACTAAACACAAAAGACGATGAGGCATTTCATTACTGTAATCGTTGCATTAAACCAGGCTTCTAGGTTAGTAATCTAACAGATCTCAAGAAAAAGAGACAAAATATTTCAATCATATACATCAAATTTCTCGGTTTAAAATAAATTTCTTTCAAAGAAGGTAACAGTTAACACTGCAGAGGGATTTTTGCCCCTTTGCAATGCTCTGTAGTTCTGAAATACTAGCTGGAAACAGGACTTCAAGGCCATGGAGGGAAGCATGAGATGAGTTCAAGAGCTTTCTGTGATTCTGCATCCACTGAATCATTAGTACTTCTGAAACTCAAGAAAACTGGGTAATGTGTAAAATAGCTTGAGGGAACAGCTTTAGAACATTAAAATATAGTCCATGGGCAATTTTCTAAAAGAAGTCGCCCTTCCATCGTTCTGTCCTCCCTTTTAATATTTTAAGCTAGCTGCCTTAAGTAATATATGTATTACTTTCCTTTCAGTATAAATTTTTTCTTTGACAGATGCTTTGGTCTGGGGGGCCCCAGCACTGCTGTCTGCTGGGGGCTCCGAACCTCTTCCCTCAGCCCACCGGGACCCCAGCACACCTCCGCCAGGGATGCTGCTGTGCAGGATGCGGCACAGTTTTCTTTGTATGTATTGCTTTCTTCTTCTGTATGGGGATATGGAACAGTTTTCTTATGAACTGCAGTTCTTTGTTCTTGTGTTCTTAGCTCTTCAGAACTGCAAGTGTGGTAGACACATGGAAAAGGCCAGACGGTACCACCAATTAACAAAGAGCAGCAGTGAACTAAGGGGTTAATTTTATCTCTGTTACACTCATATAAACATGGAGTAAACACAGCCTTGTCTATAATGGTAAACAAAGATGAAATATACATAAATAAGAGTAGCTATAGCCTAGAGTTTTGGGGAGTTGACAGCATTTAAGATATTTACAATTTTTAAGTTTTTATTTTAAACTGTAGTAGAGTCAAAGTTTCCTGTGAGTCATGAGTCGGAGCAAAGACTGAAACCACACAAGTCACTTTATCATGGGAGGGGTGGGTTTAGAAAGGCTTACTGGTTTTGTTTGGCTGTTTGTAAAATAATATGTAGGGGGGTTTCTGCCAAACAACAATAAAAGAGGTAGAGTTTAAAAGCAAATACCTGTAGTTTCTTCTGGTTTTAGAGCAGTGAAACCTTGTGTGCATGCACACAAGCATAAAGTATAATAGCAGGTAAGTGAGCACAGTTTTGCTTGTATGCAAAAACCAGGTGTTAGACTGAAATAATTGTTCTCACATCAGTGGCAACTTCAAAAATAATATCAATGCTAGAAGTATAAAAGATATGATAAGAAAAATGTTTCAAGCAGTCAGTTTTCCTGCTTAATGATTCTGGGAGCTGATTCTCTTCTTCATCACTCCTTTTATACCACTCATGCCAAAATATGGATAAAGTGAATACTAACACTGTAAAATACCTAAATGTTTTAAAATAGGCATTGATAGGTAGAATGTACACAGAATTCTTAGTTTTAAAATGTTCATAAAATAGTATACTGTTCAAGCAATAGTGTATAGTATCATGCTTTCCTAAAATGATCTTTTTAATTTGAAGAATTTAATCTTCCTAAAGCAGAACACAGATGTGAAGCAAGTGAAATGTTTACTCATAGAAGGTATGCAGAAGAAACTCAGCAGTATCTAGAGGACCATAACAGTAACAACAATGGAACAGTGAAGTTACAATTGCCTAGAAACAGCATAAGAGTATAAAATTTAGCCTTGTGCATTGATTTAAATAAAACCCTGCATGTATGTTGTTAGATCATATTGAAAGTGACATTGCATTAAGAGGATTCAGCCAATGAAGTTGTACTGACGTAAGCTCTGGCAGAATTTGACCCTGCCTACTGCATGTATTATACATGCACTGCTCATTCTCTTTTGTTTTGCTCCGTTCTGACCTAATAGTTGTCTGCTGCCTGTGATGCTGACTCCACTCTTGACCCTGGCTTTCTTTCTCTCCCTGTATCTCCCATGGCTGCATATTACTGCTCTCATTGCTTTAGCCATCTATTTTTCTACCTTAATTCAACCTCACTGAAAGCCCCTCTTAAGAAATCTGGTTATTTAAAGCTATCATTGAAGCTACTTGCTTTCCTAATTTGAAACACTTATATTTTGACCTTAATGGTTCTCAATACAAGCACCGAGCAGAAACATTAAAATTAATCCACTTAAAGCAAATTTTAATGTAAAATAAGATAATTT